GGCCGTGGTCACGGGGAGACTAAAGATGGAGGATGTCTCTGACGTCAAAGTAAAAAATTGCTACGCTAGCGCCATCTGTTCCGTCGAAGTTGGTATTTGGCGAAACTGGCCGGGTCCTTGCAGACATCATTTTCAAATAAGTTTAACTAATATATCACGTTTTAAACCGTTAAAGTGTTTTATTTAAATGTTCAGAAGATGTGATAACGTTCAAAAGGATATAATTTTGATGGGCTCTGGGAATCAACGGGTCCTGAGTTCGATCCCCACCGGGTCCAAATTGTTTCTAATCAATTTATAATTTTTCTAAAACATGTTGGACTTCGTCTGGAAATCTGGATATTCAGTGGGTGGTAGGAAAATCGAAATTCTGCTCGGGTCATGGAATTACCATTGCAGACGAAAAAGTTGCGAAGTTTAATCACGTTTCGGTGTCAGTCAATGGATTTCCGAATATACAAAGCCAAAATAGGTCCACCGCACATCTCGTTTAGATACTATTAGCCGGGGTATTTCATCTATCATCAAGTGAACTGCATGCTTAGTCTGCAAAAGCACCTTATTTTAATTTCGTTTAAGATTATCATTTTTACACAATACCTCCATCATGTTTAAACTATCCTTGTTTCTATTTATAATTTATGAAAGTAATCTCAAATTCATTGTTTTTATTGACTTTACAACACACAATTATACAAACGCTTAATTTCAGAAGCCCTATGTTTTGACATATTTCAGCTGATCTATCCATAGACTAAACATTCGTAACAGATATAAAATGTAATAAGTATATAGACTATCGCACCTTACCCACTTGTGTTCGTCAAGGTTATTATCGCGAACGTGTAATTAGGTATAGAATTTTAATTCCACGAACAATTATGACCATTATGACGTAATGGTGATAATATCTTGAGGGCATCGCTTAAATCTTTACTCGACCTACTTCTCATCCAAGTAAACTAAAATAGTATAAGCATTCAGCCACAGACTATAGAAGAGGCAGGAAAGAGTATACCTACTATAAAACAAAAGAAGTTTTAAATAGACAAATGACATACTCAAACGATTTTTCTTTGCGAGTAGTTCCTGAGATAAGCGTATTTATTATATTAGATGCGTGTACTTAGAAAAATAGATATTATCCTAGACGTGGTTATATAATGACTCACACCGTAATATTATCAAATCTAAGAATTGTATTATGCAATAAGGAAATAAAACATTTAATTCTTAAATATCGTACGATAGTTATAATTAATCTCAAACACTATTAGAAGTTGAAACAGTGTTAATAATGTCATCATACAACAATTTTTAATTTTGTTATATTTATTTAATCCCTTTTTTGCAGCCGGTTATAATAGATGTATAATAGCAGTAGCCATTACGAGAATATGTTAAAAATACACACCGAAGTGCTCATTAACACTTAACCAAGCTTTAAAAATATCTAAGTTGCCAACGTAGACAGCTAACAAGTTTCGCTGAATAATTTATCGTTGCAATTTCAAGTCTTATCTATGTTTTAATGTCGATTGTACTATACAATATACATCCATTAAAGTAAATTTATATGTACGCGCCAGTACCTACTTCAAAGACATTAACTTAATGCGACCTCATAATTACTAGCTCGAAGCATTAATTCTCGCATCCATAATTAAGTTTAATACCTCATTTCTGTTGGCCTACAATCTAGATAAATATTGTATGTCATTTGACGTCTATTAAAGTTACATTAAAATGTTAAGTCATTGTGAAATCAGCGGTTTATAACAAAAAGGTTTTTTACGAGTACGACTTTACGCCCGTGCAAGGTTGTTTGAATAAAATTAAGGTGAACGTACGGATGATACGGGAACAGCTTCTATTACGACTCGTCTGCGCGTTCGTAGATGTTCGATCTACGGTATATTTCTTATAAAAATATTCAAATTGAAGTAATAAGGGGTCCTTGAGGCAGACTTTTTTTGAGTTATTTTTTTTAGGGATTTCTCCAAAATGATGATTTTTTTTTTTTTGAAAATTTTTTTATTAGTATTAAAGTTTTTTTATGGAAAGGGTACCTCTTCTTTATGTAATCTTACGGTGCATTTTGGTGTGATTTTAAATAATTTTGATTTGGCTAATCGAACAATGCTTAAACCCGTTTTTTATGTAGACACCTAATAGTCTGTTAGACAACAGACACCAATATATCACATAAAACATATTAGAAAGAGACAAATGTCATTATAAAAAAAATACAAAACTTTACTTAATTTAAATATATTCATTTCACAGTAATTACCGAGCACAAATCATAAAATAATTATAAAATTAAAACATTCCAAAACGCGTCGTTCTCGTACACTATTTGTGCCCGTATGTTTCGCACAATATTTACTTGATACATAATTATATTCAAGTTTTACACTGTGCGTCGCAGTCATACGAATTATGTTTACTAATTATTATGTTAGATAATTACACAAAGAAAATATAAAATCATCTTGTCATGTTAATGTTTATTAGACGAAAACAGGTGTATATCTATCATATTCTTTTACAAATTATTATGTTTGATCTTGAATCGCCGGCGGCGTTTTAAAATTACATTTCTTGCTTAGCAACCACATAAATTTACTGAACGTTTATATGTAAAGTGTATGTTAAATTTATGTATATGTATATTACTTGTCTACCTGCTAATTATTATATTTATTTCAATCATGATACAGTAGTTTAAATTGTATTCTTATTATAATACACTGAAACTACCTACGTAAATATTTTTTAAGTTGTTGGCCCAGTTTGATTTTCTTTCTAGACTTTAATCTACGGATTTGAACAAATGTATTTGTAGACATTCTACAAAACAATTTAATGTTGTAAAACATTCCGATTAAATTTAATTTTCACAAAAAAATATTTTTTTTATCAAATTATTCCTCCATTTTAGTTATATAAAGTCATGTAAAGCTTCATCAAGTTATATAAATTACTAGCTGATCCCTTAGCAATATTGATATTGATAAAACACTAACAAATAACGTGTAATAATGCATTAATTTCGACCAAATTTGTTTACCATAGAAACGGTATTTTAAATTTAAAAGATAGACATAATATACTGTCGCGGGTATTTTTAAAGATAATTTTAACAGGAATTACTCCTTCATACATACTTTTAGGTTCTTAACCCGTTTTCACAGCGCGTGCAACAGAAGTCCTATTTCTTCGCTCCTATTAGTCGCAGCGTAATATTATATATCCTAAAATCTTCGTCGATAAATAGTCTATCTAGCACAACTCCTGTTCCTACAAGTTCCTAGCGTTTAAACATTATTTTTTTCAGCTGTATAATATAACTATAGTGTAATATATAATATTGTAGTAGTATATATAACTATATGTATTTTGTTTTTGAGAGCATTCAAGTATAAGAGTTCTCATTTTCTTTCTCACAATAAAGTATAAACCAACTTTAATACCCGTTAACAAGTAATTATTATCTGCCTCATAACAGTACAGCAGATAACTGCGGCCCTGTCAAAATTTTATACGACAAAGTTTATGACTCTGTTTAAGTTTATTAAAGGGTAATTTTCGACCCGAATAAAATTCTTCTTAATCATACCTTAAAGCTTTATGTGTCTCGAGAAAAAGTTAATTGTATTTATATATCATACTGTAGACAGTTAATTGTTTTTATGCTCGATAAAGGACACGACGCAATATAATGTAATAATAATTATTTTCTTCCAGTTATTTAAATTTTAAGAATTGTGAGCAATATAGCTGTGGACAACTGAGAATTTTAATTAATTAAATTAAACATTATTATTAGTTAATTTAACCACCTACAAAGTCGCGGTTTTTAAGCTTTGAGGGTAGTTGAGGATTTAAAAATCGCAAATTAAATTAAAATTTATTTTTTTACACATGGATTTATATAATATGAAGTTCTTATGACGTCGCCGATGAAATGTTTACGTGAGTAGTACACATTTGAATAAAACACTTTATCGGGTGTAAAACACAAAATAACTTATGTTTTACTTAATATGACTACGGCCCGATGGTTTCAGATGCGCCTATGATTACCGCTTCTATCAAAGTATCCAACTTAAATCAAGGCTTAGTAGAGGGTGTGGAAAAAGGACAAACAAACACACATATAAACACACATATAAACTGAAAATTCCTCCTTTCACGAGTCGGATTAGAATCCCTCTCCATACGTAAAATTGTATTTATAAAAAGCGCGTGTATCGCAACGGATGCAGTGCTAATTAGCCCGCAATTACCACTAATGCAACGGCACACTTGCTGAAACGAGCCCCGTTTTGTGCCGCGTACCCACTTGCGACTGACAGCGACTATTGTCAGCCATATTTTATATGTAGGAAGCTGAAGGGCTGCGTGCCTTTTTACGTCCATTATACTGGATATACCTTAGCCGCGATGTTTACTTGGACGAGGCGAGACCTCCGTTTACATTGTGTAACGCGATGCTTTGCGTTAATCTGCTGTCAAATAAGCTAACTAATATATAAAATTGCATAGTTTGTTTGAAAGCGCTAATTTCGGGAAAAACTGGTGGGAATTGAAAAAATATTTTGTTTTGGTTAGAGCATTTATCGAGGAAGGCGCTGCGACTAATAAGAGCGAACAAAAAGCGAGAAAAGTGGAGAAAACCGAAAAAAAAAAAATTCTCTTTAACTGGTCTAAAAAAATATCCCCCGCACTATATGTATATCTTTTGAGATTAACTTGCAAGAACGACGGGACGCGACCGACATTGTGGGAACAACTATAGTTCATAAAAATGAGGAGAGTTGCAAAAACAACTTTTACGCCCAAAATAACTATTATACGCGGACAAAGTCGCCCAGCCAGTAACGTATAAAACTGAGGAGGTTTTCACGTTACGGGCTGTGATTGTAGAAATAAATGCCCCAAAACGACTATTCCAGGTCGTCGAATTATTCATGATTAAAAATCTTTTTCCTCAGGCTTGCGTCATCTAATGGCGAGATTACAATAACGACGTCACACGCCAACACGGGGCCTGGAAGTAGCACGGGTAGCGTCAGTTCCGGTCCCAACGCTTCGCCGCACGCGCCAGTCAAAATGTCGCCCGGATCTGTTAAATCGCCATCACATGAGGAGAACGACTTATTAGCGGACTCTCCAAGTAAGTGCTTTTCTATGTATCTCATACGCTATGCATTTATTAAACATGAAATTATATATATTTAGAAAAAAAAAACATTCCGAATATCCAAAGCCAAAATAGGTCCATCACGGCACACCTCATTTAGGTGTATATTTGTATTTCACCTACCATAAAAAGAACCTCATGCTTCTCTGTCCTTCTCTATCATAAAAATGAGGACGTACCGTGGGAAGATGTTTCATATCTAATCCCGTTTTAAGTAGGGAAAGTAAATGGTAAAATCCTTCGATTTAACACTTTAACGGTTTAAAACGCGATATATATTAGTTAAACTTATTTCTAAATTATTTTAACTAGGACCCGATATTCCGGAATCTTTGCAGCAGCTAATATACATAGTGTTTTATACCGCTAAAGTGTTTTATTTAAATCCGTACTACTTGTAAACTTTGGTAATACAGTATCTTTTGATGGCTCAATAATAAAATTAATTTCTTAGCTTTGTGTTAGGGTTGAAATAATGTCTGGCAAAACAATTGAACAGTTGAACAGACAGAGCGATAGTTCCTGAACTTTGTCTACAGACACAGAAATAAGCTGTGTTGTACCACAATGTTGTTCTTTATATCTTGTGGATTTTTCAGTCAAAACTACCTTTGAGCTAGCTGCCCTACTTCTTAAGAATTAACTCTTCAATCATCCAATAAAAACTTAAACTCTATATCAAAAGCGAAGCGAGCGAGGTGCGACCCAGTCTGTTAATTGTTCCATAATGAGTCCATCGATTCGACGCTATTTCTGCACATTAAAGCCTTCTCGACAAATGTAATTATCGTTGATGTAAGTCGAACTCAAATGATGCACGCTAGAAATAGTCGCGACCTCGCTTTGACATTTCGAACCGTTTGCATTTTCTTTCATTAACGGCTTAGCTCATTCTAATGAGGCGTTTAAAGAACAATCTTTTCATTATCTACATATCTACTTCTTATTTTACTTAATAATATGTATTATAAATGCGAAAGTAACTCTGTCTGTCTGTCTATTACTCTTTCACGCCAAAACTACTGTACGGATTTGAATGGTCAGGACCCTGAGAAAGGACATAGGCTACTTTTTAATGCGAAAAGGGGGTTAAAAGGGGGGGGTGAAATTTTGTATGGAAATTCGTGGTTTTTGAAGCTAGAACAATGAAATTTCTTCTTTGGCTTTTTGGGAATAGAAGTGGGAGTGAGAATGAGAGTGAGTGTGGGAGTTAGAGTAGGAGTAATGTGAGGTGAGAGTGTTGCGGCATAGTAGCACTTACAACGTAGATTGGCTGCGATAAATGCGCAATTACATAAATTAATAAACAGTCTAAAAAATTAAAAATACTACCCCAAGTCACTATTCCACGCGAACGGAGTAGTAGATATGTAGACTAGAACTAGAATAGTTATTTTCGATATCCACAGCTTTATCTTTATAAATTTAGGCCAAGCCGACCATTGTGTTACACAAGACGTCGGTTGCGTCCCATCTTAATTGCAAGTTAATCTTAAAAGATAGACATATACGACTGCGAATATTGTTTTAGATCATTTAAAGAGGTATCATTCTTTACTACCAAATTTTTGAGTATCTGGAACCGTTTTCGCAGCATACGCATCGGAAACCCAGAAGGATAAATAATTTTCCCCGTTTTCTCCACATTTCTTTGTCACAGCGCGGTGTTTTATAGCCTTGCTCGATAAATGCTCAAATCGACAAAACATATTTTTTTCGATTCAACCCAGAAGTTCCTGAGATAAGCGCGTTGAAACAATCAAACTCTTCAGCTTTATATATTAGTATAGATCGATTATAGATTTGTTCTCGTTTTTACTTATACGTTATTTGCTTTTAAACTTCAAGACTGACTCAATACAAAAAATAATACATATATCTGTGACGTAGTCCCAGCTGTGGAATTATCAAAGAAGAACCGAATGTCATTTGTTTCAATTTGACACAATTTTCTCATAAAATCGGTTGTCCTACACCCATTGGCAATAAATGCGACTCTCAATTCCACTCAAAAATGTTGACGCTGTTCTCAAATAATTTATTAATTAAGCAAAGCATAATAGTCAACAGCTAAATTCTTGTAAAAAGCGATGCTTAACGGTTAAGTAGCTTCTTGAAATCCATCAAAAACAACTTTAAATTTGTAAAGGTGGATAATTAACGAATATTTACAAAAACCGTTTATTAAAATCTGTTTAAAGTTTCAGTTAACTAAACAAGTTAAAAACCCTTGGCTAATCCAATTTCGCCGATGAGTGTACATTTTAAAACAATGGCTACTGAAAGTGACGCCGCGTTATACTTTACGATTTCTAACACTTATTTTTTATGATAGACAAGCACGGGTTCACTTGATGATAGGCGACATACGCAGCCATATAACATCTTAACTAGATACGCTGTCGGCCTATAATAACTTTGGATATTCGGAAATTCACAGACTGAAATTGAAACGCGAAATATCTAGATTCCAGACAAAGTTCAACACATTTAAGAAAAAATATAAATTTATTACAAACATGTTGGACTTGGTTGGGATCGAACCCATGGCCCTTCTCTTATATTTTAATCGCTCTCTATACCGACACAATATAAAAAATGTTATCAACTTACTAAGGCTATACAGCATGTTTCCTTTTGAATTTACAAGTTTATCATTTGATTACGGTGTTTACGAAATGTTTAACACAGTATTACGAGTTTGATGACTAAAATTATCCTGTTGCCTGGAAGAAATGGTCATAGGCGATAAGGCCGCCTTTGCATAAACATTTTTTATTTTGTTTAAGTAATTTTAAGAGTTCTTATGTTTGTGCAATAAAGAGTTTTATTATTATTATAACCAGGATTTTTTTCTACCACGGCAAGAGCAATATATTGTAGTCAGTTATTTGATCGTTTATTATTTAAGTAAAACAAAATACTTTTAATGTGTAAATGAGCTGCCTCGTAGCTAAATGTTTAGACAAAACGATTAACCAAGTTCTGATCAAGTTCTTGCCTGTAAGACCGATCAGTGAAAAGGACACATAAATGTATTCGCAAAATGCGCCACGAGGGTAAACGGCATTTCACACTATATATAAAAGCATGCCCACTCAAATTAGTCGTGTCGTATCAATGGCGTATCGTCCGATCTAAAAGCTAAATGAGTCCGCCTCGGGCCCCGTTTCTATTGATTACTATTTAATTCGTTGTTAGTGGATACAATTACTAAATTACTCAGTTCCTCTCCTGTTTACCAGTTCTAATTTCTCTATATTAAATCGATAGGATACGTTTAGATCTCGGTCTTTAAGTTGTTGAGAAATGTACATCGATACAATAGTACTTCCTGAACCAGTTTTTGTAATAAAATCGGTTCCTAATAAACACACAATGTATACAGTACATTCAAGATTAGCATAGAAGCCCGAGTCGAACACAAAACGAAAAACAAATTGCACATTTATTCTTTATAACTAGACTAGTCTGTAATTTATAGGAGTAGTACAAATTTAAATAAAACACTCAACGGTTTAAAACGCGAAATGTATTGCAACAGCGGTGTAGTGGTCACGTGGGTAACATAGCATCCGAAATGTTAAGCCATAGTTACAAAAAATGGTAAATATGTTAAACTAATATATTTATCGTCTAAAAAAGTTACAAGTACTTTATTCAAATAGCGTTAATTTTATGCATTTATATATAGTACTACTTATAATATATATATCAAAGGTATTCGCTTATAACTTAAATTCTTATGATTTATAAAAAGCCTTGTCATTTTAATAGAAGTCACCTTGTTATTAGCAAGAGTCAGTCATTGTTTCTTTAGAAGTACATTTAATAGCGCCAATACACCCACGTAGCTTGTCGACATTATAAACATCCTTAATGAACTAGATAATAATTGATAAGTACAAAGTGACAATTATACATAGTTAATTCGCTTAAATATACAAAACAAAGTCTGTTTAGGCATCAAAGACACCGCGACCGTGGACCGCATTCTCGCAACGAACTAAATTAATTAATTAAATAATTAAAACCCATTACAAATAATTAAGGTTGCCGATAAAATTGAACGAATCGATAAGCGAAGTAGTCTAAGAGTTGTCACACTCGAGCGACATTTAAATTTGTAGAAAAGGACAGAAAAGCATTATTTTGATGGTAGGTGAAATACCCTAGTCATATAACATCAAAGCAAGATGCGCTGTTGACCTATTTTGGCTTTGGTTATTCGGAAATCCACAGTCTGTAAAGGAAAACGCGATTCTACTTAACGGCTTTTTCATCTGCGGACGGCGGTTAGTGATAAAGCCGGAATTTTGATATTCATACCACCCAATTAATATCCAGAATTCCAGACGAAGTTCGAGGTGTTTTAGCAAAATTATAAACAATTAGAATAATGTTAGATCGAGACGAGACCGTCAATAAGTCATTTTAGTATATATTTCATACTGCACACAAAAATAGACACTCACAAACAATAATATATTGGCGCCATTTTTAACACCTTTTCCTTTTTACTAGGGATGAATACATGACGTATTAAACTGTACAGTTTAATTGGTATCAATTACAAAACTAACTCATGATTAAAAACAATGTATGCAAACGACCATGTATTCCATGACGCAAGGAAAATTATAACGTTTATTTAGAGTGAAAAATTTGATGACACAGTTGGGACGCGAACCTACAAACAGCCTTCCATTGTATTGAATTATCAAATACATATAAATTCACATTATAAATCATCGAATGCATTAACATAAAAATTAAATTATAATATAGTATTGTGCTTGTTTTCTTATGCCTAGCTCTTGGACTACCACAAAGAGTGATCCCGCCAAGCTACTTGGCAAGTGACATTTTGCGTTATAATTATAACTAAGAAAACATCGAAATTATACTAATTATTTTTGTTTTTATAAAACTTATTCGGAAATATTTGCCTTTGTGTGTTCGAAGGAATCCACCGTTTCTTATCTTTAATAAATTTATATAGTATAGACAGGAAACACTTATATATGTTTTTATTGAAACTTTCAGCAGGCATCCATTTAAATATTTTACGCCGGGTCGAGGTTATAATAAATATAACTAATACATTACGCGGAAACACGAGTACAATAATTAATGTGTTATTAAGGACATGTAGTTTATTCTTTTTTATTATCAATACTAAATCATTGGCTCAAGTTAACATATTTAAATCGACCAAGAAACAAGAATTCATTAATTAACAATTATTTCTCATTTGTAGTTTCACTCAACACTTATTAATTGAGCTTCTATTATGAAATGGGTTTTTAATTACAGACGTCCAAGTGAAAACTTCGATGATATTACTCGAAAGGTCAAACTTTCAAACGCTCCTTTAATTTTACAAGACTCAATTTAATTTATGTTCTTCATCTATTCATTGTAATTATATCTGCCCACAGTGTTGGAGGTATAATAAAAAATCGATTCCATTAATTCGATTATTCACGTCATCGTAGCAAGATTTCGAGCATTCTATGCATCTACAGGGTGATGCTCTACTTATAACATTTGTCATAATATGAATATAAGGTCCAGGATATATCTTGACCCCTAAAATAACAAGTTACGCCACAATCAAAAGCAAAAATATAAATCGAAAATAAATACATAATATGTACATAGGTATGTAATAATCTAATGAAATTGTATAGATTCCAAAAAAATATACTAGATTTAAGATAGAAAAAGTAAACTAAAATCCTAACGATGCCATCTTTTCATCGGCCTTATAGTTTACACGCGCTTGGCCCTTCTTTTAGCATACCCCTGTATAAAAACCACAATACGAACCGCCTCTATAGTCTAATCACTTGAATAATTATGGATAATCAAGAGTTGAATATGAAATAACGGAATCGATTATCAACTGAATTTTTCGACTAATCATAATAGTATTTGGCATGTGAAATCGACATTAATATTTGAAACGCAAATCTGATATTAGGGATCATTTGAAGAGGGATTACTAAAATGTAGTTCGGGTAAGTACAATTGAAGTGCCAATAACTCATAACAAATGTACGGTCAGGTGATTCGTGGAAGTATTTTCAATCGACAGTCGCGAAAGTTCCTTTGAATTTAGTGTGCAGTGTTGATAATATCTAGAAAATTAATTATTTTTAAATTTCATAGTATACAAATAATTGTTGTGTTACGTACAGATAATAATTCTACAAAGGACGTCTATTGTGTCAAGTGTCAAAACTGTCAAAATTTGACAACGACAACTTATATAGTCTATGGTTTCACCGCTCGAAGAAGAGTTTAATAATTAAGAAATATATTTTCATGTCGTATTTACGACTTTTTCTAGTTTAGCTTTACTAATACTACAGAAGACGAAGGAAACCTGAATAAATTAGATGATTTATTTTAGCTTTTGCTTAAGCGTCACTGTACAGTTAAAATGCCATCGAATTAGCAACCGATCGACCAATACTGTAATTAGAGATATCAAAAACATTTCCATGGAAAGTATCGTCTAATCGCCAAAATACTTAATTGGCATTTTTTAAATTGTTCTCGGACACGTAACGCGGGTCAATAGACGAAGCACGCAAGCGGTAATTGTATCTAATTAATTTATAACATGTATTAAACAATTAAGAATGGTATCTTGGAGTACGAATTCGGTACTTCGTTCAATTGACTTATCTTCGTTAGTTAATTAATGGGCGAGTCTCATCACGCGATACAGTTAGCCGAATAACCTATAAAGAGGCATTTATTTAATCTTATCCGTTAAGTGTTTAATTCCAAATTGGATATAATCTGTGACACAGAACTAACGTTGTGGGTTTGAGTCTCACGTTTGCCCTAGGATTAATAAATACTAGATAACCTTATGTCATTAAGTTTTTATCGAAATATTAGATTCATTACTTTATTGAGACCAACTTAGTAGTTAAGGAGAGATTTTTTCAGACCGCTCCGATCAGAGCTTGCAAACCTCCAACATGTTGTTAAAACATTTCAACGACAATCAAATGTCTTCAAACACGTTTCTGTTTATTGTTAACTATTTAATATATGCGTATTTACTAAATAACAACAAAGAAGAAAGTTTTATAAAATATGTATCATAATATAATGCCATAAAGTTTGGTTTATGGTATTTCATATAAGCTATTCCTGGATCTCCTTCTCTTCTCTTCTTTTTCCCTTGTGTATTGCTTCTGAGCATTACCCAAAACCAAGTAATTATTAGAAAACAATCTTGTAGCTCCCTCCACTTAATTTGATTACAGCACTCACCCCACACGTAACAATTCATCGGTATAACGAACTTAGGCAATCTTGTGCATTTACAGACCGTACACCGGTAAACAGCGAAACGATTGCCAATTTGCTAACCCTACCTTGTCTAATCATGTACTATTCTTAACTATACGGCGAAAACCTGAGTGCTGTGCTACTGAATACAAGACATAGATATAAATATGTTTTTAGTATTTAAATAAAACACTTTTGTTTAAAATGCGAAATATATAAGTCAAACTTATTTAAAATCCACGTAGCCAGGACTGCCTCAAAGCATGTGAAGCGGCCGTAGTTTTTTAAATAAGTTTAACTAATATATTATTTTTTGGGCATGTTGAAAAAAGCCAGATAGAGTTTCTTGGGTGCTCTTCTCGGTTATATTGCTCTTTTGAACTCTGTAGAACGGACAGACAAACATATTATTTTATTTTTTAATTTTGACGAATCAAATAATTTTTATAATTTTAGAGTATATTTTTTTTTATTCGCACTTTACACCGCAAAAGTGTTTTATTTAAATGTTTACTACTCGCGTAAAATACAGACGTTATTTAAGTATTACTCAATTGCTTTTCACCTCAAAAACCTTCCCGATACATATCCATTTTCATTCAAAGGAATAATTCCCCAGTTCTTAATAAGATTTAAGATATAAAGACTGCTTTGTAACTCTGCCGAGTATTAATAGATCTGCAATTTTTCAAAGATATTTTTACACTGACATTTTTCGTCTGGGCCAAGTTAATCAATCGTTCTGGTTTTGAGAGATAACTTTATAAGCTGAAATGAAATGTTAGCTCAATAAGTTCCTTGTGTAAAATAGTAGCAACGGCTCTTAAACAATTGGTCAAAAATTCGATTACTGCATTGTCCAAACATCGGGCTGTAGTTTAAATAATTTTTAAACAGTTTATTTATTTACTTAAAGAAAAGGCCCGCCAGCGGATATTAGAGTATGAGGATATAGCACTAGCTGTGTCGGCGACTTCCTCCGCGTAGAACAGTTATTTTGGGCATCCAAATCTGTTTCAAATCAAAAAGTAATCTTTATAAGTTTAAGCTGCCCACGACATCCGTCGCGTCCCGTCACTCGCGACGCGTCTTTCAGGTCCCGTCGTTCTTGCACGTCGATCTTAAATGGATTGACAGATCGAACATTTTTTTAGATCATTTAAAGAGCGATCATTCTTTCATACATATTTTTGGGGTATCTTCAACCGTTTTCGCAGCGTACGCATCTGAAAGCCTCTTTTTAATTCGAACTCGGAGTTCCTGAGATTAGCGCGTTCAAACAAACCAACTTTGCAGCTTTATATATTAGTATAGATTAACAATATAAAGAGTAAGACTATACAGCTATCATAGCATAGCTACATGCATTTAAAAAGAAGATGGTGTGTGGTTGCCTATACATATATAAGGAACAATATTTAAAAAAAATAAGTTTAACTAATACATTTCGCGTTTTAAACGGTTAAAGTGTTTTATTCAAATGAATAACATAATAATAGCATGCAAACGATAAGTTGTAAAAATTAAAATGTTTTAAAGAAACCACGCAAGCTCAATTGGCAAGTTGTGCACGGACTTTCGCGGACTCTCACCTGTGTCATCTTTCGATCTCACTAAATACTTCGCCAAATAATGAATCGATTGCGAGCAAGTGAGGGTAAGCAATTTGTCATTGGCAAGCTAAGCAGGGGTGCTTGAGGCACGTCTGTAGCGCTAATGACATTCCGCATAATTAGGAAGTGCCACCATCTACTAATTACATAAATTGCCCACTAGAGCCCGCTGTAATCGCTACGATAGCGGCAAGTTTTGCTGCGTAGATCCACTTTTACTGAAGTGGGCTGATTATGGGCCACTGTTGTCCCACGGCTTTATATTATTTTTCAACCGTGAAGCGTAAGCGTGAACGGATCGCAGATCTCACGGGTACTGCACAAATAAGTTCGTTCATGTTATTCTATTATGAAGACAGCCAAATTATATATGTTTTTGTTATGAGCGTAGTCGGTTTGACGTTTTATTTGTAAGTAATATAATTTGTTTAATGTAATAATTTAAAAGCATGCCAAATAGATATGTTGAAACGTTTCAACATATCTATTTGGCATGCTTTTATATTTGGTAGTCTTGGCTCAAAAGTTACCTACACTTTGTCTAAAATTGCTGTAAGTGTGAGTGTTCCTAAAGTCTACTTCCAAAATGACAGAGGTTAGCATGACCGAAAAAACAAAGATACGTAATAATTAGTATGCGTTCGTTTGTTTGTAAACTTTTAAAACTAGCCAATAAATACTATACTATGTTCTTAAAATGAATGTCTATTTGAATTGCAAAACTCTTGCAAAAAAAGAAAAAACAGGAAAACGAAATTATTCATTTTAAAGCATCAATAAAGATGTCTTATAACATCAACATTCAATATTTAAAAACATGGATTTTAAATCTTGACTCTTGATGACCTTTGTGTCAGCCAGTTGTAATGATGCAAACTCACCAACGAACTTATACCTTTATTTTAACATGCAAAGTGGAGATATGGATCGTCACAGGGTCCATGTACCTAAGCTAAGTAGTTCACATTCCAATTAACTCGATATTGTATTAAGAAATACCTTTACCTTCAGATCAACCAACAATCAGCCAGTCTTCAGGCAACGTAGTGGACGGCATCAACCTTGAAGATATTAAAGAGTTCGCAAAAGCATTCAAGTTGCGACGGCTCGGCTTAGGACTCACTCAAACTCAAGTTGGACAAGCACTTTCGGTTACGGAAGGACCGGCGTACAGTCAGAGTGCGATATGCAGGTAAGAGCTGGTTACAGGGTTCAAGACACCAGGATACCTAGGTAGAAAGAGTCTTCAGACCTAAACACATCAGAGAAGAACTTAATAGAGCTGTGATTGTCTATTTGGCAACACAAAACAAATAACAATTTATTTATTTATTTAAATAACACTTGCTTATTGATTTTAGTTTATAAGTGACATAACTGTAAATTTCAGAGTCGCACGCTTGAAACCTGTAAATTACGCCGCCAAATAAAACCTGCTAGCAGCGAGAGAGTTGTCAAAAATGACAAAAAAATTAAACTCTTGACAACCCCACGAGGCTAACAAAAGAGGTTTTTAGTTGCGCCGTCACGCAGTCCGAGTACAGTTATCACACTTTTTAATATCGCTAATTGAAGTGATTTGTAAAACAGCGTGACTCCTTTCATTGCTTCCAGTTCGTTTAATTAATTACCATTCGGACGGCTTCCGTTCCGTTTCGGTGTCTCGGGCGCCATTTTTCGGTGCTAGACAGCGTTCTGTGGAGATTTATTATTTGACTATGAATTATTTTGATTGTTTTCGAAAAAACGCGTCGCGGTTAGATATTCACTTATTCGTTAATTTACACACTATTAATGACACAGCATTACGTCATTAGCAGCTACCTATATATCTATGAGTTTGTTTTTGTTTTAAACAAGGTACCATTCTAGGACCGAATAGTTTTCTACTATGCATATACCATGTCATAATGAGTTATCTTGTGTTGGACTTTCTTAGATTTTATTTATCAAAACAATTCGTATTAAAAGCAAATCAATTAATATAAAATGTTTTTCACGGCCATGAACCGGGCTCGTCCAAGGAGTATTTTCAATTCAGAATCGACCTCTTTCGTATAATAAAATCATTAATCGTAACTTCTGTTCGAGTTAATTAATTATCTTGCTGTAATTACTTTTTTCGTGTAATTAAAAGAGTAGAATTCCCCTGTCTTTGTCCCGCCGTGATTTCATTTTCCATTAATTTTTCTTTCGTCTCCCCTCAACTTTGTATTGTGACGTGGCTACAGTAGTTACTCCTTTGATTATGCTGGACTCAATTAATTTGCATTATAATTGAAATTAATTTTACTCGAATAGACTTCAATTTCTTAGCTTGAATAATACTGAAAACGGAATGTCACGACTGTATATTTCATTCGGTATTGCTTACGAAAGCTTTTGGCCCCAATTTAGTACCCAAATGTTTCAAGACTGTAGTTAGTCTAACTATACACACTAGATATATCTACCGTAACCTAGTATCAGGAGAATCGCTTTAGTAATACTGAATAGTTTTTGATGGAATCGAAGATATAGGAGGGACCATTATTGATTGAATATTCCAATTATAATGTGGTCACAGCTCACGATCAAACACATAACTAGTGAATAAACCATTCGCTTTGGAAGGTTACAATTATAATTTTATATTCGTGAAACTGCGTCAACGCATCTTCATTGAGCCACTTTGTAATGTTTAGTTATGTAACTGTATTTTAATCTTTAGCGGTTTTAGATAATTTAGTATTAGAATTTCTATATCATTATTACCAATTAGTAAAAAAGTTTAGAAGAGCGATATTGAAAAGTATTGTCGTATCAATGAAATTAAGCATAAATCTATAAAAAGATTTTAAAAGCATTCCCATTGAAAATATTGAATAAGCTGTGATTAAAAATTATATTAAGATAATTTTTAGTGTTATTCCAGTTCTTTCTTGTAGATCAAGCATGCGACTCTAAAGTGTGTTAAAGTGACATTATGATGGATTATCTAACATATTATTTGTTACCGTTCCCAGTGCCCTGGCTTCGCAGATGCTAGCAGCTCAACTGTCTTCACAACAACAAAACATGTACGTGTTTTGTTTTTTACCCCTTATGCATCATCTCCTAAGTTATCACCATCGAGCGGACATTTTTGATATTTAGTTTCGAGGGTAGTCAGAGAAATTCCACGAATGGCGATAGCTTGCGAGACAGCCTGTTACATTAAGCACACGCTTCACTCACGACCACATAACTCGTCTTCGAATCAAAATGTTTCAACGCTATTTAATATAATCTTATCTCGATCGGCGATCCGCTCAGACCACGTGAATGTAAGCCAACAATTATGTCTAATCACCGGTTTTGGAGTTCCTTTCTTTTCCTTTTCACACGTATACCGTATTTACATACGAGTAATTATAGCGAGGCGCTATACATCAGTGGAACGTTACTTTTGTTAAGACAAACGAAACGCATTAGTGTCGGCTACCTCATGCGCCCGTTCGACATTATGAGTAATTGTTATGAGGATTTTATCTGATTAGTTATTTGTAACATCACGAATTCAAACTTTCCATCTAATATAGCATGATGTATTATTTCATTACTTTTTGTTTTTTATTAATATTCATTTCGCGCGTTTCAAAGCCAGGGCATTGGCATACCTTTCGCTTCTAATTGAATTCATTTTATTGTTACCACGTTCGGCATTAATCAAACTGATTACCCTGGCCTAAATTGCCCATTGTTTTTTTTTCTGTATCTTCAATCGTTAACGCTATGTCAATGTCCTGCAATTGCTCTGTTAATTTGGAAGGGAATTAAGACACGGGATGCGTCTGCGTCGCGCTCTGCCTTCTGATCGGTACGCTAAAGTCTAACATTATAATTTATGTTCGATACAGATTTGAGAAATTGGATATAACACCAAAAAGTGCGCAGAAAATCAAACCGGTGCTCGAACGTTGGATGAAGGAAGCCGAGGAGAGGTAAATATTATTGTTTGAGTGAATATTGTATTGTGGAACCGTGTTCGTATCACATTTGGCCTAAACGCTTAGCGATGAAGAACATTTCTCAAATCTGGACTAACTGCGCTTTTATCGTTACGCTTTTTTATTTTTTTATTCTCGCTTACTGCTACTAACGTTGTCTGGCTGCTGTATAAGTATTTCATGTGATTGCATGAAATATTTGTACTAACAGTTGACGGTGTGCGTGTGATTTTTACTACATATTAATAAAGTTTCGCTTCTCGACATGTGTCAACTTTACGGTGTATTCGTTTTATAATATTCTTTTTTTGACAGTATGTCGTCTAGGTAGGTAGTTTTATAAATTCACACGAGAAAAACCGATCACGTGACATGTATGACGTAACATTTCCCACGACAAACGGTCTGCTCTGCTCTAACACGAAGTTAGCTGTATTGCAGGATTCACTACGGTTAATTTTGTACAATGTAACGTCTTAAACGCGGCCGCATTTCCGTTTAAAAAACGTTAAACATATTTAAACATTTTCCTGTGTAGGTGTGGCATTACATACACGATAGATGCCTTCGAATTGCGTCTCGTTCAAAGTTTGAATCTGAAACAAGCGCAAAACACACTTACCGTTAAAATCTTGAAAATTTCATAAGCATACCAGGTGTCGCTTATTCCCCATCGACCACTTAACATCTTATAAAGACCCCTTGTATCTATCGATTATACATTTCGCATCATTAAAATGCATTAACTGAATGCAACGGGAATGGTTTAACATTGCAAATGGTGCGTTGAATTTGCAATCGGTTGTCCCTCTTGGTGGTAATTTTTAACGAGCGCCTCTGCAACGAATTGTACTTGAATTAATTCCTGATATAGATTCAGTCGCGTCTTCATTAAGGCAACTAACAAATCATCCATTTAACTTCAAATAATCACGCTTGAGTGAAAAATCTACGTTTTTTATTTTAACCCTTCCGCTTGGAAATGTTCGCCTCCGTGATCACTTACAAATCAAAAGAGTTTCACCTAATTCTTGTCTAAAGTAGCAAGAATAAGCAAGTTTGACAAGTAACAATCGATATGGGGTAGTAACCTATTTCCGGTAATGAACGTATGCCTTTCTTTTTTTATTACATTATGTTCTGTTCTGTGGTTTATTTAAGAAGGACTTCGTAGTAAGCTTTTTCCATCAATGTGTCTACGATAATTGACAGCCACTCATCATTTTATACATATATGTTTAACCATGCATTAATTAAAAATCGATTTTAGATTGAAAAAATGTACGACTCGGGTAGGGCTAGAATCGACATCCTCAGCGTTCAGTTCTGTTGCTCTAACCAATTGAGCTACCGAGTCCTGATACATTGATATTATCTGTTTCTTGTGAAAGATCGTATATTTTTCTACAACTTATTATGACGTAGAAACATTTGATAGTGTCACTTGATAACTACCTACTCAATGCATCGATATCTGAATCATTTATGTAAGGGGATTCAAATGGCATTGGCATTATGAAACCAGACCAAGGTTCATTATTTACATGGGACGGGTATCTTATTTTGGTTTTCAATACGAACTTGAATTGCCTGTTTATTTAGTAGATATATTTAGTATTGTTTACGGAAGTTTGGGGGTCGCTCACGATTGAACGGAACAAAAGAACCAGATCTACAAGTTAGCGCGATCGAACCGTTCATTTTATTAAACACGATTCGTGTCTTTGATAACTTAGTTGTAGCAAAGTACGTAAGTTACAGCAATTCACGATCTGGATCTGAGTACTTAGATCACAAAGACGTGTGTAAGTTTTCGTAAATTAGGTGAACGGATCAAACGATCCAGCTCATTTACGATCCAGGTTATTAACGATATACGACATTGTATAAATGGAAGTAACGGTGTAAGCAAACAATACTGCCTTCGCGTATTGTATGTGTTACGCGACTGGTACATATTAAATAAAACACTTAACGGTTCGAAACGCGAAATTTCACTCAAGAGTTAAATGATTTTTACTACACAAATATTGTTTAAATAAAGTACTACTGATATTAATTTTTTATACAATTGACACTGACAAGACCCACTTCACACAAACTCAACTCTTCGTCAACAGATTCAACAGAAAATTCAGAGATTGAAAAGGTGTTAATTGATTTCCAGGTACGCGTCAGGGCAGAACCATTTGACGGATTTCATCGGCATGGAACCGAGTAAGAAGCGAAAGAGACGCACTTCGTTTACCCCTCAGGCTTTAGAACTACTTAATGCACACTTCGAAAGGAATACTCATCCATCAGGTAATTAAATAGTAAATTCAGGCCATTAAACATTAAATTATATAAGACAAGAGAAAAAAACAGGTTACCAACTTGCACACGATGCAATCCACGCGATGACTTTATTAATATGACTTTTAGATTTGACAAAACCTAAAACAGGGGCGGGGACTTGAACTGGTATCCATAGCAAGCATCCGTGCTGCTGTTCTAACATCGTCCATCAAGTCCTCACTAGAATTATTTTAAACAGTTGATACGTGTGCACCTCTCGAGCAATGTAATTTCAATCCTAACAATAAAATTTTTTATTCTAGAATTTTATATAACTACGTTGTCTCACTCATTTCAATATTTTCATCTAATCCGCATAAGAGATTATAGTTTTTAATTAAATTCATAATCAAAGTGATCTATTTTTTGACCATATTATTTATTTTTTAATTCCACACTTGCACACCAAACAGAACTTACAGATATTATGCTATCTAAAACTATAGAGTGTACCGGGCGGCCTTATCGCTGTAAGCGATCTCTTCCAGGCAACCCGAGTAGAAAGAAACTTAAAGATTAATTAAAAACTATACAGTGTGCAAGAAATGCAAAACTTAAATGAATAATAATAAAACCCCATCAAAAAAAAATATATATCATGAGTTTGAATACCAACCTTTTCTCACTACTACTATTCTGATGTCTTTTATCTTTTCACATAAAGGCCTATGTCCACTTTAAAACTATAGTAAGTGTACTCAGTTGTTTTCTCCTCTTTTCCAGGCACAGAAATCACTGGTCTGGCGCATCAGTTAGGCTACGAACGTGAAGTTATCAGAATATGGTTCTGCAACAAACGTCAAGCCCTAAAGAACACCGTGCGAATGATGTCGAAAGGAATGGTTTAAGATCGTGTTTTGTTATTTAAATCTATAGATTATTATTTGAATCTGGCAATTGTGTTTGCTTTATCTGTGTAATACAATTTGTCATATAAACGAGTGTACGTCAAAAATTTGCGATTGTTTAAGGCATCTCCTGTTGTTCTGGCATAGGCAAAACTACATATGGTCGCAAGTGGAAGTAATTTTTATTTTTGAATTAATCTAATACCATATAAGTGTGCCCTTAGCTTTTTATTTTTTTCTTGCCGCGCCGGTCGCCAGTGTTTTCTTAATACCTATACAAACTACTTATAATTTACTCATTTGAAATGTACCTGTCTTACATTCAAAATTTAAATTTGTTATTTTTTCTAATCTGGCCTTAACTCGAATCTTTCTACGATTCCAGCCAAGTTTAGAGATGTAATGAGTTTTAATAGAATATTTATGTAAAATAAAACATTTTGACTGATATACTCGTCTTGATGTAGCTACTTTTACAATGGTATAAATGGTTCGTAGAATAACATAGGTGTTTAGTACAAAAGTCGGCTTTCAACTTTCGTTTCGAGGTACGGCAATTTTTCCATTCATATTATTTGCATTTAACAAAGTTAGCCCTTGATTGCCCATTGGAATTAATTTTATACTAATTTGTAATAAACGCATTTTGTAAATAAGTACAAGACGTGGAAATCTCAGCATTAAAATAAACTAGTATAGGTACATTAATTTATTGAAATACTCTGAGTTGTTTTGTTCTCCTTAGCGAAATATGCACCTTATAGTTTAGAAATAAAATATCAATAATATGGAAGTAGTTAAATTGTGTCGTCTTAGTGGCCTACAAGTTTTCGAATCTTAGTTTTTGTTAATAGATAGATATAAAACAATAATTATTATGTATAAAATAATGGATGCATTGTCGTAAATTGTAAATATTGTTCGCGTAATTTTAATTCTTTAAAATGTATTATTAGTTAGTAGCTATACATGAAGAATAAGTTTTTAGCCCCTTAAGATTTCTGTAATTATACAAGTTAGACATTTGTTGCAATATTTAAAATATTTTTTTTCTTATAATATGCCTTTATTTCAAAATTTTGCATACGATACATGAATACCTACACACGTTTTGTTTTGGTAACATTTTCATATAGGTATCTCGATACAGATAACAGAAGGTCCTTAATCTAACGATCTGCGTGCATATTGTTCGGGTAAACAACATACTAATAAAATTACCTCGCATTTGGAAAGTAGATTTTGAAATATTATTATAGAATTTTCAAAAAAAAAATTGAAATTATATTTGATTTAAGAAATTGAAATATCCAAAGGATATGCACGGATATTAGCTAATCTGTCGACAAACACACATTTATCTTTATTATGAAACTTAATTGACCATAGTAGTTACTATAGACAAAACTTACTTGAGAAAAGTTGCTTATGTCATTTTGTGAAATAACTACATCACAGACCTGGTTACGGTGAAAACACCCACTTAACTTTTTTTTATAATCTTTAAAGACCTACTGTTAACTGTATTTCCGTAGTTATAAGGATGTAATTTAACGTATGTTAATGACCAATGAAAACCAACTTGTGATCAATAATATTTGTACTGTTACCTACTACTTAACAAGAGTCGTTAAAAAATAATATTATTAAAATATTGAACATATTTTTCGGCTGTTGAAAAAATTGTAAATACAATATTAAGGATATTAAAACTATTTGGATTAATATTTAGGAACAAAAGGGAAAAATATTATCAAAATTTATATTTTCAAAAATTATTACAAATGCAAAAAATGTGTATTTAAAAGTGGAGGGTTCGGCCATAATCAAAATTATTATTAAATGACGGATTTTTTACGACTTATTGCACATCACTACACCCACAGATTACAAACAAGCAGTACGGTAAACAGTGTTAAAGTGCGATGCGGTGTCGTTCGTAATCCTTAATGATAAGGAATCAGGTTCTTCCTTAATCAAACTCATTCAGGAGTTATTATTCAATCTACTACATAATTAATATTTCATAGAATTTAATATTTACTGTGTCTGAAACTATCGATAGCCACTGTTTATCATCTGTATACTAATCGATACTTTCAATACAATCGATTTGAAGCATAATATAGATAATGTACAATCGTGCTTTCTCATCGATTACTTATTAAAGAAAAATCTGATTCCCCTCAAACATTAGCGTAATAGAAGCAGCATAGAAATAATGCTAAGTACAAAATAATTAATTAACTATAAAACTGCTAGTCCGTTACATTAAATAAAGTTTATTATAATTGATACACGGCGAGATCGCATTGCACCCTGGTTTTCATGATACGCGAGTATTTAATAGTAATAGTAGTTTAAAATTATGGAAATCTACTACACATAACTTCATCTGTAACACATATTCAAACCAAACTGTAACAGTATCTAATAGTGTATTAATTTCTCTTCCTGTAATGGTACCGATTGAATGACTATGGCTGCTGGATTATGAAGAAATGCAGATTAAAGGCAGATAACTGTTTGAATTCTTGTTTTATTCATTTTAATGTTTTCCTTATGAATTAACCTACAACCCTTTTTATATCGATACGTTTTTATAATTAAATTCTAAATATCATACTACAATCTAATGGCACTAATAATTGTAAAGAATAATAATATTAAATTACCTGAATAATTAAATGATAATTAAGTTTAGAAGACAATCAAGAAGTTAAATTGGCTTGAATGAGAGTCTTGAAGAATTAAAACTTTTAACCTTTTATAAAATCAAGTCATCACTAAATTTAAATGTTTCTGTTGTACAAACATATTGAAAGGCAAAACAAAAAAATTAGGCAGTAAAACGTTAAAACCACGGATGTAGAAGTGAGTGTTGCCAAGTAGCACGACAGCTACAGTCAGCTGTCATGTTGACAGCGACAATGTTATTATTATGACGGACTGTCAATTGTTGAGGTGTAATTTTATTCTAATCTGTTAAATAATTGTGATCAATCGTGATTATTAAAAGAAATCAGTGTTGAAATTGCTTAAATAAAATTATATTAAAACAATTTTGTATTGTGCTTTTCTAAATTCTCCGTATAAAACTTGCATTTTAAATCAAATATTACGTACAGAGCATTTTAATATTTTGTAGTAAGCAAGTATAACAAAAATATCAACAAATGTACATGTAGCTATTGGGTAAATGAACATCTATTCGTCTCATAACTTGCGTATTTCCTACGTCAAACGCGTAAGAATTACCTCGATAAGCCATGGGTGACTGCTGTGTAAATGAATCATAAGGTTGGAGGTTACTGGTTAGTGTAATTAAGTGTGGTGTTCGACGGTCCTCGGGCGTTGACTTTTCTGATAGGAATCCGGCAGTGAGTAATCGATGAAATGATTGAGAGTGTATCTCGGCGTGCCTTTAGTAGTTCCAGTGGTACATACAACGTGCGAGCATCGGAACTCGCGAGAGAACGAAAGTTAAACATATTCAATGTCACTGTGCTGTTTTTGGATGACACCCAGCAATCCTTCCAAATCGAGGTGAGACCTACATACCATGTTAACTCTTTTAATATACTTTGCATATTTTGATGTTAATAGCAAAGAAAAACCTGTGTTAAAATAATTCAAATATATTGAATTTATCTTTCATTGAGTTTATTCAGACTATCTATTAATTTAGTCTCTTCCAAACATTCTGTTTAATTAGAGTGCATATAGTTCAATATGTAGAGTCTATCTTTATAGGAAATCTTAACCGATAAAGCCAGGTTACTTTATAAGAGCTTGTCATTGTATGTGATGTATTGATATATTCTTTTAAAGATAAAACCTCCTTACATTGATTTTATCTATTAGAATAATCAGAGATTTGCTATGATTAGATTATGATGGAAATAATTGCTTAATATAGCTTCTGATACTAGATAAAGATTGGAATAAGTACTTGTATGTAGTTTTCCTGTAAATTTGTTTTTTTCTATATCTCTGAGATTGGGACAAAGATAGATTGTATTTATATCTTTCCTGTGTCATCTCTAAGCAGTTTAAGGAAAACACTGATATTACAACATAGGTGTATGAGAAAATAATCACGATATGATGTGAAGTGCACAAAATGTTCTAATTATTAGTAACATTCGATTTTTAAAATTTTTGTATAAAAGGATGTAATGTATGTGCACTTGGTAATAATTTGGTGTATGAACAGGTGTAAGTATTTTCTGTGTAGTATATGTTAAAATGGGCTAAGGTTATTAGGTATATTAATAAATGTTTTGGTTTGTTACAAACAGTTGTTAAGCAAATGATTTTATCTATCAGTTATGTTTATTTCTTGGAAACATAATCTAATATTCCATGAAAGATAGAGTTTTTATGTTTGAACTGAAAGCCTCCCTCTCTATTTCAGAAAAAAGCAAAAGGCAGTGTTCTACTTGAGTTAGTGTTCCAGCATCTAGAACTCGTGGAAAAGGATTATTTTGGTTTGCAGTTCACTGAAAATGGATCGCCACCAAGTGCAACAAATACAGAGATAACGGTACTTCAATTTAATTATTTTTCACTTTTATTTCGACTATTATAAATTATAAATGTATGGATCTGTAAACAAATTGAAACAGACCTATAAGTGAGTTCATTATACATGCTACAAATAGAAAAAAGAACATTATGTACTGTCTATAGTTTACGCGAGTAGGAGCCCCTGTGACCACGGCTGCTGCAAAGCACCCAAAACGTCGGGCTGAAGTTAAAAATCATTTTCAAATAAGTTTTACTAATATATCGCGTTTTATATCGTTAAAGTATTTTAATTAAAAGAAAATTATGACTAATATCAAATTATTATTAGTTTAAATTCAATAAAACTAGAAATGCAATAAGACATAGTTAAATTAGCATAAGAAATAGATTTTAAAATGACTCACACTTAATCCTTAAGGTCATGCGCGTTTTTAAATTTTACTATCATTGAGTCATGCTGTATGTTTTAATTAGTGTAGTTTATTGTACACATGTTAATATGTTATCAATCATTGACTGCCCTGCCAGTATATAGGTTAATAGTCTCGTCAGTTATTGTTTATTATTGTGCCCTTAATTGGAGGCAATTGTTGTGAGTGATCAGTTACTAGTCTCTATATGACACTGAAGATATATTTAGGTAAGATTTCTTTAATTTGTACTGATAGGGGAGGATAGACAAGCATAGAGTTCACTTGATGGAAGATGTACTGTCGACCTGTTTTGGCGTTAAATATTCGGAACTCCTTTCATCTGTGGATGATAGTTCGTGGCCCGAACATAATATTCAATATTCCTACCACAAATTTATTATAATATCCAGACAAAGACCAACCTGTTTCAGATACGTTTCTGATGTTGATTAGAAACATGTTGGGCTCGCTTGGGCATCGAACCCACGCCCCGTTGATTATTAGCCAAACTTTGCTACCATTAAACCGACGAGCCCGTCAAATTATGATATACATATTGTCTGCGCATATCCAGGTTACTCAGGCACGTAAGGTCAAAACAATCTGTCTGGTATTGTCAGTGTTTTTTGCCTAATATTCAGACAAACATGCAAACCATACAATTTTTACGTAATCAAATCGCGTTCCAATATCAATTTTAATTTTCGTAATATATTCACGTATCTTTATAGATCTATAAGAACAGTTTCTCTGACCATCGAATGTATAATTCGCATTTACGCGTTGTGAATTATACTAGCTGAATGAATTCGTAATTATTACGCACTAACGATCGTAGATTTTATTATTTCATGCTTTCACTATTTCTACTCTCATTTATAGCGTTTCCATATATTATGTAGTGGAAAATGAAGTGAAATAGTTTTAACTTTCCGAGTCATTTATATAACGCTGCTTCCGACTTTTGTTCTTCTAGTATAATAGTAGCGAGAACCACTCAAAAAAAGTATTTTCTAGACAAAAAATCCACCTTCCAAGAACCACTTCTTACAGTATGCATACCAATGTTTACTAAAAAATATTCGATTTCGCACATATTTTTAAATATATACAATTTGATATGGCTTTAAATAAGTATATATCGCGTTTTAAACGGTTAAAGTGTTTTATATAAAAATGTAATATACTTAATTATTGTTGACCTTGAATTTTAATTAAGACCCATAGTGTAACTATAATCTTATTGATTTCGTGTTTTAAGCCATTATTATTGTTCTATTAAAATAATCATAATTTATTTTAAATTCTCAGCGTTGGCTCGACAGCAGCAAGTCAGTCAAGAAGCAAGTTGGTGTTAACGCACAGTTCTGGTTAGCTGTTAGATTCTATCCCCCAGAACCCTGCCGGCTCGCTGAGGAGTTCACGAGATATCTGCTCTGTCTACAATTAAGGAAGCTTTTGCTCGATGGGAGAATGACAGCACCCAGAAACACTGCACTCTTACTCGCTTCGTTTACTGTGCAGGGTAAGTGACATTTTATCTTTACAATCTATGTCAATATCTCTTGACTGTTTGAATGACAGATATCATAGTTCAGTAGAATCATTGTTAGTCCAGCAATGTTAAAAATGGGATTTCATGAATTGTATCGGGCAGAGAAGGTACATCAATTAAGCAGATCAAGAAAATGTATTGCGCAATGGTCTTCGATATTAAAAAAAAAGTGTTTTTGCACAAATTGTTAGAATCAAATAATAAAGCTCTTTATGGCAGAAACATATTTACACTGAAAGAGAAGACATTATTATGTAACAAATAAAAATGTGTGAAAGGCGTATGTATCGCTTAAGGCGATTTCTTCCAGGCAACCTTTGCTTGTAGAAAGAAAACCAAATATATCTAATTTAAATTAATATCTCCCAATTTAAAGCCAACTCCCTCATTATCATGACGGCATCAAACATCTGTTTTAGCTGAACTAGGAGACTATAACACCACAGAGCACACAAACAGCTACCTCTCCGAATTGTGTCTCTTGCCCAAACAAAGTGCGGAAGACGAGCGTCGTATTCGTGAGCTGCACAAGTTGCACAAAGGCCAGTCGCCAGCTGATGCAGAAGCCAATTTCTTGGAGCACGCTAAGAGGCTGGATTGCTATGGTGTAGAGTCACATCCTGCTAAGGTAAAGCCATAATCTGTTTAAATTGAAACTTCCATTATCTGGATAAATTTAAAATGTTCGGCCAATAATGGGTCGATCGAACCCCTTAATATCATCGATTATTTTATAATAAGAGAGAGAGAGAAGACTGTATTAAAAATTATTTGTCAACAAAGGAATACAGCTTAACTATTGTTTACTTTTACCATGCTCTTTCTTAAAATTCGGCATCCCCAAAGGATAATATGTTGTTTAAAATTTTTGATAGGATAAATATTAATTATTTAAATTTTGTTATAATATACTAAGTAGCTTGAGATTACTGAATCTCAAGCTACTTAGTATATTATATATAAAAATTACATGCATTTATCACATTTCAGGACTACAACGGAAAGGATATATTGATTGGCGTGACGTCCATCGGTATAGTCGTCTTTCAAAATAACATACGAGTGAATACGTTCTCTTGGAGTAAAATCGTAAAGATTTCCTTCAAGAAGAAGCAATTCTTCATTCAATTGAAACGGGAACTAGTATGTATCATTTTAATAACATAACTGAATTGGACACATATTTTTCGGATGCGAAATATCGTTTTTGTTATGTGATGCACAAGTGAGACATATATCTGTGTCTGTTTCGTTGATTGATTGTGACGTGGCTTAGCATTGTACTTCATGGGTGATTTTGCTGCCAAACCCATATCTGAATCTTTATTAATATTTTCTTTTGAAGCCTTTGCTTATCACTTTTGATGTATTATAAAAATTAATAAGAAAGTATAATTAATTAGTATAGTAAAAATTAGACAAAACGAAGAACGAAAACTTTTCAATATTTGGGTCTCAAATTTGAAAAATAGTCTTTCTCACATCGACGATAAGTTCTAGTGTTTTTTGAAGGACAAAATCATCACCTCAGGATATAAGAGTTAATCATAAGTAAAGGTCTATTGTTAATTTCAGTCTGAATCCTACGACACGGTATTAGGGTTCAACATGCGTTCCGGTCGAGCGGCGAAAGCCCTCTGGCGCTGTAGCGTCGAACGGCACGGTTTCTTCAGACTTCGGGCTCCGCGACGCAGACCTCTGTTAGGTGCCCTCGGAGCACTAGCGGGCGTTACTGCCCCAACTGTTGCGAGAACCGAAACACAAGCTTTGGAGGATGCTAGACGGTCCCGGTCGAGCAATAGGAGTTTTGTTAGGTATTTTACTCTCAAATAAAACGGTTTTAATGGTTCAAAATGCAAAATATCCAGTATATTACACTTATCAGCCTATTAAACTTAACAAAAGTAACTGTAATTTTTGGAAAGTATTTGAAACATTTGGTCGTTGATAAAATAAATCTTAATTAAGTTTAATATGTGTCGTGTTTTAAACCGTTAAATGTTCTAATTTCACTGTGTACTACTCACGTAAACTATAGACGATGCTTCTTATTTTACTTCTATTATGTGGAAGTTGGTGATTATGTGTCTTGACACAGAACACTTCAAAACAGAGTGATTTTGATAAAATGTGCAAGTTAAGATGACATTATATTACAAGACCATGTTTAATCCAAAAATGTCCTGTTTCCATGAAGAACGTATCTAAACTTAGTATTACGAGTTCAAAAATCGAAAACATATTTTAAAAAATTTCGATCCGGGCAGGACTTGAACCGGCATCGTCAGCGTTCCATGCTGTTACTCTACCAATTGAGCTACCGAATTTTTTTCAATTTATTTTCTATTTTTAAATTATATATCCTTCATGTGCAATAACATGCAAAAAATATTAAAGTTTTCGAACGTTAGTATTACGAGCCCTATAATATAATTAATCTAATATTTTAACATAGTATATGATGACTGGTTGAATCGACCATCTATCATGTTATAACTTCTCTTTTATGAATTAAGGCAAATAATGAAAATTTCAGACGCAGTAGCTCCCGCAACCGCGATCGCTCTGCGGGGGCTTCCCCTGCACTAGTTTTGAATTCTACCGCTAGAGGCTCTCGCGTTACTGGCCATGAAGAGCCATTACCAAGACAGGCATGGAGTGATACACTGCCAATCGAGAACGACGAGTAAGTTTTTCTTAATCTTAAAAATTGAAATAGTTTAAATAAATACTCCTCTTAAAATAACTCAGTAATAGTATAATGTTATAATAAATGTTACCATCCGCAAATATTTCTAAAAACTTAATGTATTTTAATCTTTAGGATTAATTTTATTTTGGTCAATCGCCGATATAAGTTTTGCATATAGTCTTAATACTAACTACCCTTATGGAATCGTTTTCGTAAAAAATACTTTTAAGAAAATAAAACAGCTTTTGACTCACATCCAACGTCGCAAATACAAAAAAAAATATCTTAAGACATTAATTATATTATCAGTAACGTTGCTGATTGCCAGCCGTATTGCGCTGACTTTTCAGTAAAAGACTGATACGGACATTTTTTTTCTTAGATTTGGATGGATAATCATGAGGTTACTATGAAATGCCCCAGCCCTATAGCGTCAATCAATGTTAATGTATGTTCATGTTATGATTGAAAGTGTATTTCCATTATAGTAGTGATGGGGGCTTCTTAGAGCGTTCTCTGGCTCTACGCGTACCCTTATCATACGTGGACGAATCAGAATCCGAGTCCCCTGCAGAACCGGAGCCGGACGCGACAGAGGGCGCTGTATGCGTTCGCTTGACAGCTGGTCCGGACGGACGATTTGGCTTCAATGTACGCGGAGGTGGTAATAATACGCCTGTACTTGTGTCCCGGGTTGCCCCGCGTACGAGGGCACACTTGCAAGAAGGGGATCAGGTATGAATAAGATAATCCTAAGATTAAAAGAAAGAAAAATTACCATAAAATGTAGACTATAAAATGTAGGCTTTGTCAACCATTTTGTAAAGCTAAAGTATTTGAACAAGACACTTTTGACGGTTTAAAACACGAGAAATGATAACCGTGACAGCGGCTGCTGCAAAAACCGAACCTTGGGTCGTATTTAAAATAAACAAAAACATAGTTATACTGATAAGTTTCGCGTTTAGAACTGGTAAATCTAGTGTTTTATTTATACGTGTAGTTCTGTCGTAATTTACAGATAGTACACAGCTAAAGTAGCTTTATTTCAAACGCTCTATGTGAACTTAAGCCGGTTGATAATACATAATAAAAATTTAATTACACATTAAAAGGTATTGCTGAAAATCAGCGTTGCCATATGTCAGCATACGTAAGGTACGTATGCTGACATATGGCTCCGATATAATACAGAGATTAAATTCAAGTTGTTTCTATATTATTATTTTTTATATACATGAAGACAGCAAATTCGGCAATTGTACATCTTGTTGGATGTGGAACTTATTTCTTCAATATTTCAATTGTATTTGCAGGTCATTGCAATAAATGGCAAAGATGTAGATGAGATGACACACGAACAAGTCGTGCAGATGATTAGGAATACCAAAGGGGTTCTTACGTTACTGGTTAAGCCTAATGGTAAGTATATCTTATGTATTTCTTCTTTTTAAAAGAGGTAAATGTTTGTTGGCTACCAAAGTTACCAAACTTTGGTAGCCAACAAACAAACAACACACACAACAAAAGTGTGGTCCACTACACTGCTCCTGTGCTACTAACACCTGCGTCTTAACTACGGATTGGTACTAGAAACTTTCTTCGAAAAATTCCAATTACTGTAACAACATTTAACAGAGACTTTGATCCCGGGATCTCGTCATCTTCGTATGAAGTTACCTTACGAGTTAAACATAACTTACGTCAATAAAGTGAGTACAAGATATTCCTCTAAGAAGTCTAAGAGATAGTTATAATGACTATTTATTTACAGTCTTTTCTTATTAAAAAACTTAAAAAAAATAGCAATAATTTTAAAACATACTTAACGGTTTAAAACGATATACAAAATACAGTAATAAATGTTGATATAACTATATATTTCGCGTTTTAAACCGTCTAAAGTGTTTTATTTAAATGTGTACTCGTGAAAACTTACATATTTCATACATTTATTTTTCTAGCTGTATATGAGCCAGAAGATACAGGCCCAGAGGAACCGGCTGTATGTTTTGTCCCTCTCGGCTCCGGGCAATTCGAGGGAGACGCCTTAGAACAATCTATGCTGTTGCTAGGCGACGGGCTGGCGAGTGGGGCAGCACTCAGACAATATGAAACTCTTTTAAGACGTCTCCCGGAAGAGTCTATAGCGGTGGCCAAACTTCCAAATAACCTCAATAAGAATAGATACAGGGACATTGCGCCTTGTGAGTATTTAAAGATCTCTAATCCCCTCCCTAGTCCCTCCTAAATCACTCTTCTTTTCGACTCGAGACAATTACAAAGATTCAAAAGAAGAACAATATTCGTATAATATATTTTAATAATTTTCCTTTCTTATTAAAATAAGTTTAATTTAGGTAAGTAAAACGTATCCCTAAAAGATTTGATTTTAGGTTTAATATAGCGAGAAACTACGAGACTTCACTTTTTAGACCACTCATAATAGTATGTCGACAAATAATATTTTGATTAGTAACAGTTTTATTAACAGCTAATCACAGCATGTTTTTGCTGTTTTTTTTTATTGTTTCATTTGTTTAAAATAACTTATTTTTAAATAGTTATCTTTAATATTTTTTCTTTTGTCTTTCAGACGATTCAACTCGAGTCATCTTGAAAAATGGACCGAGTGGAGATTATATAAATGCGTCTTATATTAATATGGAGATCCCGAACTCTGACCTCGTGCTGACATATATTGCTACTCAAGGTATATAGTGTACTACAGAATCAAATATCCTAAGTTAAAATAAGTGGACACCACATCTAGTTGAGTTCTTTGGCTAAGGTATTCCTCCTTGTCCGTCCTCCTCCAACATTAAAAAACCGATTACTAACATCTAGAATACACGGAATAACACGGAGTTTGTTTTTTTTACAAAATTATAACTATTATGTGAACAAAAAAACTTGTGTTTATACTGCGCATGCGCATAGTATTGGAGTTGAAAGTGATAGCGATAGATATTGTTTATATGGACGGGTTTTGAATCCAGTATCCCGCACATTACAGGTCCTCTAGCATCAACGGTTGGCGATTTCTGGCAAATGGTCTGGGAGAGCGAAAGCAGCCTGATAGTGATGCTAACTGTTTTGGCGGAACGCGGTCGTGCCAAGTGCCACCAATATTGGCCCAAGGTTGGCACCACGCCACTCAAAGCCAACTCACTCACCGTCCTTACAAATAGCGAACAGAATCTCGGTCACTATGTGAGGAGGGAAATGGTTATGAAGGTTAGTTCTTAGTCCCAAAAATCCTAGACAGATTTTGATAGAATTTGACAAGAGTTCAAACTTAATAAATTTGAATTTTAAGTTACTGATTATAATAAATGTTAAAAACTGTAATTTTAGTTGTAAAAACATCTATTGTATTATCTATTTTAAAAACACTATTATATAACTGCTTAATCGGTTGATGTTGTTGAATCTTGTTTTTAGACCGTAGTTACTATTGCTTTGCTTTGCTTTATGTACATAGGGGAAAGAGAACTAAGACGACAATTAAGAGCGATATTCATTTGTTTGCCAGGACAACAGTGGAGCCAGCCGTAACGTCACTCAGTTGCAATACACAGCATGGCCCGACCATGGCGTGCCCGAGGATTCAACAGCTTTCATTAACTTCACACGCCTCTGTTCACAATTAAGGAACCATAGAGCTGGTATGTTCTATAACACAAAGTAGTTGAAAATTTTCTTTTCTTTCTTTTACGTATTTTTGAGACAGAAAAAGACACGGTTTTGATACTACGGTCGATTTATTTATTTTTTTTACAAAAAAAGTAAATCGACCGACGAAGTGAACGTAGTACCTGCATTTTTTTAAGACACCTGGGAGATTGTTATCAAATACTTTTTCTACCTACCTAACCTATTAATGTTTCAATGCTGAGTAACAATCTTTCCTATAAAAACCTTAAGCTTAGACCCAGGCTGTTTAATACGCTTTTTAAAGACTCATCACATGATATATTTTTTTAAATTCCAGTTATACCAACCGTAGTAGAAGAAATGGCAGACGAAGAGCGAATCCTAGAACCGCCAATGATCGTGCACTGCTCGGCCGGTGTCGGTCGTACTGGAGCTTTAATATTAGCTGAGACAGCGCTCGAACTGCTCGCAACACGACAGCCTCTCTACCCGCTTGATCTCGTCCGAACGATGAGGACACAGCGGCCTATGTGTATTCAGAATGCTGTAAGTTACAGTCCCCTAGTAACTTTTTTTATTGAAATATAACCTTATTCTCAGAAATAAGGAGTGAATAACTTTAGTTCAGTTTTATAGTATTAGTATCTACTGGTTCGAATTGTAAAATTCTCTTAGTGCTGAATAGAAAATCTATTAAGGAAGGCTTACTATAACAACAGAAAATAAGATAAACATTTTAATAAAACGAGAAAAATTATTAATCTTTAATGGCTTCTGTTGCGTGCGCTGCGAATACGGTTCAAGAAACCAAAAAAAAAACAGGTTAATATGTATGAAAGAAATATTCTTCTTTAAATGATCTAAAGAAATTTTGAGATTAACCCGGAAGAACCGTGTTTCTGGTAAACAAATTTGGTCGAAATAATACTGTTAAAATAATGTGAAATAGTTTAAATGCGTGCTAATAAACGATTTGAAAAGGCTTTGGGTTTTGACTTTGTTTTAATCGAGGCAAGCGCTACATCTCTTGATGAAGTCATCTACTCTACGTGATGGAAAAACATCGAGAATAAATTGTTGATTATTAAGGCGACAGCTCGAAAACCCCAAGCTTTGCAAAAGGGCAGAAAGCCTTAATAAACTTAATTTATCCACAGAGCCAATACAAGTTCGTGTGCGAGAGTATCCAATCAGCGTACTCCCAGGGCTTGTCCACGCCACCAGACCCAGCCAACTGATAGTTGCTACTGCATCCCTCGCAGGATCCTTACGTGCGAGCGATACTACACGTCATAGGCTTGCTGAGGAGGGCTTTCTGTTGTGTAGACACCTTATTCAGATGACAAACAGTTTAAGATATCCAGTCCAACGGAAGTTTGGGTTCCAGGGATGTTGCAATATCCATTTTTATAATATTTTAATCACCTTCATATATTTTTATCGTGCACGTTACCAGCAATGATTGATTACTACTAATAATCGATTGTTCTATTGCGCAATCGATTTTTATAGCAATTACTCGTAATGTTAAAACATTGTCAATCGATGAAAAGATGATAATCGATTATTGTCGGAATAACCGATTAATACTGTAAATAGTCCATTTATTTTAATTTGAATACACCGTTATACGCTTTCTCATTCTACCATTTCCGAGATATAACGTAAAAAATCCTGCCGAACTATAATAAAACAATTTTTTATACTTGTACAATGTTTCTAACAGAAATAATGTATTGATGTTTCAAGTCTTAAGTACTTCCCTTTCTCACCTTGATATACATATGTTTTAGAGCACGTATTTAAAGAGCAATTATTGTGAAAATGGACTCAACTGCGCTAGTATTATTGATTATTTGACTATTTATTTATTAACCAATGCCTATATACACAAACGCGTAACTAATCCAACTAACGACCTGATCGCGACGCGTCTAGCGACTGAAACAAATGTATTGCCAAGTGCGACAAGCGACCGGTGACGCGAACGAGGAACAAAATAAAAGCACAAATCAATACGATCCTGTCTTTGATAGAATTACACTTGTACATATATTTATTATTAATTTTCAAACTCTCGAAGCTATAAGAAATAGATGAAATATGATTTGTAAATAACCCCTTACCCCCCGAACTAACTTAGACTAACTTTTATCAAGCCCATACGAAATCATATCGTAATTGTAATCTCAACTTTTGAAACAAACAACATATCAATACGTTATCCTTATTGTTACCCGTTTATTTTGAAATTCTATTATTTATTTTAGTTGTAATTAAGTTAATGTGCTGGGTGTATAACATTTTTTATTTGAGTTTCGAGAAAGAACTGGAAGGATTCAAAACTAATATTAATATTTGAAAAAAGGGAGGGTAGGCATATCGAAATATTTTGTAGTTTGAGGGTAGTTTTGTTGTTCTCAACGCTAAGGTAGAAAACGACGTGACTGGCCTAATTAGTAGTGTTAAACTTCTTAAATGCTCTCGTCATTACAATGTCGTACGATAGAAACTAGAAAGATATATAAGATAATTCTGGATTTTTAACTGAACTGTTTTTAACGATAAGTTTGCGACAAATACATTTACTACGAATATGTATGGATAACATGTAATTTTAATTGTTTATATCTGTAAGAGCTTATTTTGAGAAGTTAGTTGAGAAGATGTATTAATTTGACTACTTAACTATATTATTTATTAAAATTCTTGCCCTAACGAATTTTCGTCCTAATTTCAAGATGTATAGAGTGCTTTATCCTATGTTTCTTAGTGCCATCGATTTTAGTATTCTAATTGTTTTAACAGTATTAAGTAGAATAGGTATAATCAAATACTCGGGGCCCATTTTATCTACTGATATAATAAGTTTTGTACTTTTTATATAATCTTGTAGGGTTAGTAGACAACGAATTGGCTATTAAGAAATATCATTTTGGTTGGTGGTTTTTACAAATGTTTGAAAAGTAATAAATAGCACTTAGAAAAACATTGCAATTTTTTCGTTGTAAAACATGGCTTTTATTCCACTCTGTAGGATAAGAATTATAATTTGACACTTAATTGAGACGAGTACCATTAATTTATATAATTGACTGGATTCATTTCTTTTAAATAATGTGTTATTTAATTTGTTTACATATAGCGGGAGGCCAATTTCAATAAAGTCTGTAGTTTACGCGAGTAGTACACATTTAAATAAAACACTAACGGTTTAAAACGCGATATATATTAGTTAAACTTATCTAGTCTACCCGCGACTACGGCTGCTGCAAATCATCCGAAACCTCGGGCCGTTGTTAATAATTCAAATAAGTTTAACTAATATATATCGCGTTTTAAACCGTTAAAGTGTTTTATTTAAATATAATGGCATTGATCTAAATAGCTATTAAATACTAATTAGTGTTAACCAATGTCATTGTTTAAAAATTGGGTTTCGACATGCTTAAATATACTTGTACTATAGAATTGCTTACATTTTTTTACGAATTCTTATTCTCATTAACTTTTAAAAAGCACCGTATAATCTAAGTCATGTTTATGTCAATTGTCATTTAAGATTGTTTTAATAAAGATTTGAACTCTGCACTTTGAATACAATAGTATAGGCTAAGTATTAATTATATTTTTGTTACTAAATCATTTCACATATCCTATATTTTTATTTTATATATACACAACAGTAGATTATGCATTGTACTTTTTCACAGTTTTTGTGCCAATTCTTTTAAAAATTATATTTATTTGTAATTTAGTGTTTGTGTGTATTATTTTTGCTTCCAACTAATGTAACTTTAAATTTTATTTTTCTTTACGAAACATTCAAATCGATCGTAGATAATGGAGTATTTTGTAAATCGTGTGACTGACATAGTTATTAAGGATTTGTAAGATTGTAAATTTAATTACGAAAACGTCGCCAGTATAAATTCTCGTTTGACAACCTTATCACGAATGTTTCTTTCGTTTGTACCTGAAAGCATAGTGATAAAGTTGTCGATCGACAATTTCGTATTTTTTTCAGACAGCTGTTGCGAGTTGTACACATTAAAAAAAAACACTTAACGGTTTGAAAGGCGAAATACGTTATGAATATTAAATTTAAAATAATGTAATAGATTACGCGTTTTAAACCGTCAAAAGTATTATTCAAATTATTGACGATTAAAACAAAATATATCGGATAACATTTTTTTTTACTACGCACCAATGTTTCTGATGATTTACTTGAATTTGAATCGTTTGCGAAGCTAAGAGGCGAGTATTAAATAAAAATTCTCGTCGCAATTAAACATTTTCCGTTTACGATAGTCAAATTAAACTCGAAGCAGAGAAATAAAATGTTTAAAGCCGCATTAACCACCAAATTATTACGACCTTTTTACTAGGTTTATATTGGCGTCGTTCGCGTAAACCGAATTCTCATGTTTCTACCATGTGACGTTTGAAGTGCTGTGCGAGTTTTTTTTCTGTGAAAAAAATAAAACTTCGACCCTTATTCGCTGTGTTTTTAATTCTTTTTGTGCTTATTTTAACTATACTATGACTCAAAACATTCCCAAACCCCAGCTGTTTATAAATCCGATGAAAGTATTTTGGATGGTTCAACGAAAACTGTATATAATTTGTCTGATTACCACTACACAGAACCTTTACCATAAAGTAAAATGAAATAGGGTAGATCGTGTCGTTACATTCCTTTTTATTCCTATAGGGGAAAACGAACAGTAGACTTACCTGATGTTAAGTGACTTATGCCAACCGGAGAACCAGAAGTGCGTTGCCGGTCTATAAACGTCTGGAATTGACGCGTACGGTCAAACGGTTGTCCAAAAAGGCTATTTCATTAGCTAAAATTATAATGGTTAAATGGTTAATCTTTCCCTTTATTAATGTTAATTCCCCAAGCTTGGATATTGTGTAATTAACTCTTTGAAGTAAGAAAATGTACTTTACCCAAATTTGGGATTTGATGAACTTCCATTATTTACTTTACGGAAAATTGTACATTAGGGCTTAACCAACTCAAATAGCCTGAGCAAATGTCACAAAAGCCACTTGATAAGAGATTAGAAAGTTAAGTTCTGTCTGTAGCTTACACGAGTGGCACACATTGAAATAAAACACTCTTAACGGTTTAAAACGCGAAATACGGCCCGATGATTGCAACAACCATGGCCACGGAGGGGTCTCCCATTAGTTAAAATAAGTTTAGTACATTTCGCGTTTTAAAACGTTAAAGTGTTTTATTTAAACATTAGAAAGTTACGGTAAACCTATATCACTCTCATATTTCTTTGCTGAAATTGTTTCAAAAATTGTCGACTGTAAGCATTGTTTATTGTATAGTTGCATGTATTATAAACATGAATTAATTAAAAAATAATTATAACTATTACAAACTAGTTGTGCCAGCCGTTTCTTCCGCGTAGAATAGTTATTTTGGACATCACATTTGATTTTGCAAAGCTCCTGTTCAACTCTATAATTTAAAGCCCACTATGCCGTCCGCGTATCGTCGTTCTTGCAAGTTAATGCTAAGAGATAGACATAATTGCAGACCTTTTTTTAAATCGTTAAAGAGGTCGTTATTTCATACATATATTTTTGTGTATCTTCAATCATTTTTCGCAGCGTACGCAATGGAAATCCACAAAGATAATTCTCCCCAATTTTTCCCGCTGATTCTTCGCTCCTATTTGTCGCAGCGCGATATTTTAGGCTTTCTTAATAAATAGAAAGATATTCTTTCAATTCGAACTATCAGTTCCTGAGATTAGCGCGTTGAAACAAACAAACAAACTTTTCAGCTTTATATATTTGTATAGATATACAACTGAGTTTAATTCACTGATCGGATATGGGCAAGTAATCAGACGTCTATGCCAGACCGATACTTTAATGTTTTCTTTGGATTCAAACAAAGACGCCTCGCGCTTAACCAAAGTTAATATAATTTATACATTATAGGTAATATACTACCTAATATTTGATTACATATTTATCATGGATATCACAAACATAGTCGACCATGAAATATTTACGCAAAAAAACCGCGATCGTGAACAAATAGTACGCACGTTTCCTATCATTTGATTCAGTTCTGCTCCGTATTTAGGGCGGGCCGCCCATCATCACTCAACTCAGATCGACGTCGCGATATATCCAATGAAACTTTCAAATCTATATTCAGATTGTTTATACAAGAGTAATTCCGAAATGTTCTGAATAGATAATAACAAGTGTAGTGATAAAAAAGCTCTTGTTTTCGTCTATAGATTTAACTTGAATTATTCTAAATACTAAATTAGAAATGCGAAAAAACTCAGTAAAGACTAAAAATAATGATCAATGATGAAATTATGGCAACTGGTGTTTTGTGGTGTGATTATTTTTGTGTCTATCAAAAAGACGAGATCGGATAAACTCTTGGATTTTGAGGAACAGACAGTGAAGAGGCGCGTTTTGAAAACTATAAAAAGACACGTGGATTTTCATGTTAATCGTGAGACTTTGTCATTGGGACCAAATGATACTGAAGATACATATATGCATAAGGCAAAGGTACTATTAATTTTAGACTAGTGTGATATATATTAGGAAACGAACGCAAAAAGTTTATGGAAACATACAATTATTTCACATTTCTCTACTGTATAATCTATCTTACACGTCACACAGTCAAACAACAATTACTAAAAAATCACAAATACCAAACTAGATATAACAATCTGTCAATACCCCAAGCTCGAACTAATTACGGTAAAAATAGTATAAGATTTAAGCTGATCTGTACAATAAGTTACCTGAAAGCGTAGAAAACGCCCAGCCAATTAACATCTTTATAAATCATTAAAAGTACATATTTTAAAATAAGTTAAAGAGTTACTATCTTGTTTTGTATTTAAATTTTGAGTATTTTAATTGTGTTCTCATTACTTGAATATGTATATTCTTAGAGAAAATAAATCCTTTAATCCTAACCAAACCTACAAATTCGCTACTAGGCACAGGTCTCTCTTGCATATAAAGTTTGAATATAAATCATTCAAACCTTCTTTGTCTCTAATAATCGTTACGAAGTTAGTAGTGACTAGAAATGAGGTCTTGACGTACCTAGGACATTCCTCCTTTGCACGGGATAGTATATAAATCTTAAAAAAACAAATAAGGTTTAAATAATTGTATTAATTAATGATTTACTCGTGGTTATAGTAAAATGGTTTGTAATAAATTTATATAAAAACCGATAGTATTCAACAAAAAATAAGCTTATATTTATAAGAATGTAGGATTGATATGGTCACTCGGTGATAGGTGAAAATGTCCCAGTGTTATGATTTATAACATTTAAGAAAGGTCTGTATCTACTTTTATTATTGAACTAGCTCTGCCCGCGACTTCGTTCGCGTGGAATAGTGACTTGGGGTAGAATTTTTAATTATTTAGGCTGTTTATTAATTTATGTTATTGCGTATTTATCGCAGCCAATCTATGTTGTAATTGCTACTTTGCCGCAATACTCTCACCTCACATCACTCCTACTCTAACTTCCACTCTCACTCCCACTCCCACTCCCACTCCAACTCCCACTCCCAGCCCCACTCCTATTCTCAAATAGCCAAAAAATTAAGTTTCAATGTTCTATCTTCAAAAACCACGAAATTTCATACAAACTTTTAACCCCTTACAACCCCCTTTTCGCAATCAAAAGTAAATTCAAATCCGTTCAGTAGTTTAGGCGTGAAAGAATAACCACAGACAGACAGGCAGACAGAGTTACTTTCGCATTTATAATATTAGTATGGATTAGAGAAATTATTGTAAAATCTTACAGTAGGATAACATTTGAACAACAATAAATTGGTATATAGAAATTTTGTATCAAGGGCAAACAAAAATTAATTAAAATATACATTCTTATAGCTTCAATTTTTTTTTAATTTATCTCATGCTCAATCCCTTCTTTGGGTTCTAATCCTGGGGAAACATCACCACTTCGGTTTGACCACGAAAATTTGTTTAACATTTTAACTGATTAGTAATTGATTAACTGTGTTACGGACACATTTTTATGACAGACATATTTTTCTGAGAAATAGGACGTCACACACACGCTATGTAGTGTTAATCAATAATTATTAACAATAACTCACCAATATTGTTGTGTTGCTGAATCTACTCAGGTATCCACGATTAGATATGGAACTTATCAGAAATTGTACAATTTTCTTTTCAATTATATTATCTAAACACTACTTGAACATGTCTTACCGTCGCATTGATTTAATATTTGAGTGTAAAACATTTAAGTTGTGTGTGTTTCACTTACTCTTTGTGGGTGTGTTTGTGCGGTGTGACGTTTTAAAACATCTGGATGGACCCAGTACGAGACTCGAAGTAAGTTCGGCTCACTCGTCATATATCTTGTAATGTAATCAAATCCTATAAACGATTTATAGCTACTTATAAATAGCCCGATGTAATCTAAAAACATCTAGGAATGCGCAGGCGCACGCAGGTATTTTTATAATTGTCTGAACTCTATGTAATTTAACTTGCGTTTAAACACAAAGGTGGAACAACTTTTCCATTCTCTATTTTTAATTATCTATATTTAGTAGGATTTGATAAGCGATTAGGTATAGAATGATTCAACAAAGTGACAAACGACGGTAAGCGACTAAAACATAAATAAAATAAATACAGGTCATAAAAATAATAATTCCTTTAACGATAATAACGATACATTATAGACGTGGATTTTCAATATTCAACGGTGACTAACAATTAGTAAAAATACTGTTAGCGTCTTTGCTTTCGCGTTTTAAACCGTTAAAAGTGTTACACTTTACACGCGTAAACTACAGACAATAGGTGCCTAATTGTCATCTTTGAAGTGAGATACGAAAGGTTCAATCCCGTCAAAATAAAAATAAGTAATTTTAAACGAAATACATCCAAACATGTACAGAAATATGTCTTTCTACATGACTCACTGAGGTGAAACGGGATTATACTTAATAACTCGGTTGAATGAATGTTATAAGATAATTATTATAACAGTATGTTCATCACTGGCGTTATCGGATAACGCGGAACACAAATATTTTATCAAGACTATTGTTCCATTAGCGTTTAATTCACAATATTTACCTTGTGAATGAAATTACTTTATATATAATACATATAAGGCTTTTAAATAAAACTTTAACGGTTTAAAACGAGATCTATTAATTAAACTTATCTGAAAATGATTTTTAACTTTTAAACACTTTTATCGGTTTAATTATATATATGTAATTTCTTTTACTAACCAACTTAACTAATTAAAAGTAGTTAACTGATATATTTCGCATTTTAAACTGTTAAATTTATTATAGTTTTGTGATAGGTTTGATCCAAAATTCAATTATGGTTGAAAATTCAATGGAACGGCGGGACTCGATCCTACGACCACATACTTTTCAATAAGTAGAGAAACAGTTAATAAATTATATATTACGCATCTTTAAAAAAAACTAAAAACATCGTCTGTGACTTTTAAAAATCTAAATAGGTTTTAATTTAAAACTTTAATATTTTTTACAAGTGCACATGATGGCACTATATAAATTGAAATATTACTACATATAATTGGTTACACCAACAGCACGGAACGCTGTGGATGCCGGTTCGAGGCCTGCACGAGTCGTAAAAATTTGTCTTAATTTATAATCGATTTCGAATTTTCTAAATATGTTTTTAATTTAGATAATATCATTGTTAATATTATTAATGGTGTCATTTCTAACAGGCACCTACGTATTTCTTATCGGAACGTTGCCTCTTCATAAGCTTTAGATATTTGCCGATAACTACCAATTGACGTCTGCCGTATCTGTTGGTTTAGTGCTATTTAATTAATACCAAATTACTAACACGATAAAGATAAAATTGCCACTAGTCGATACTACTTATGTATTTATGAACCTTTTTGACGGTTCAAAACGTAAAATACATTAGTTACAAGTGTGTTAATTTACAATTGTAACGGTTCAAAATGACAAATAAGTTAGCGTAGCGTACGCAACGAAAACCTACAAGGATAAGTAATTTTCTTTTTTTCTATATACCCCGTTGTTCCTCCGCTCCTATTATCCGTTTTATAGCCTATAACCCTTCCTCGATAAATGCTCTGACCAACATGAAAATATTTTTTCAATTAAAACTAGTAATTCCCGAGACTAGCGCGTTTAAACAAACAAATATACAAACAAACACTTCAGCTTTATATATTAGTATAGATTTTGTTTTGCGTTTCCCTTTCATTAGCCATTAAAAAAATATTACCAACACAAATCAAACATTACCTCGTAATCTGAAAAGTTTACGAGGTTTTTGGTTTACTGACCAATAAAAGACCGCGAATTATAGCTCTCTGCAAAATGCGGCTATGCGTTAATCATTCCTTATAGGGTTCTCCGTACTTCCGTACTCAAGGAACCTGGCACGATTTAACACGAACACTTTAACGGTCTATAAACGCGAAATATATACGTTAAATAATTTTAACTACTCCAATTCGATGGTTTACACAGTTGGGAGGAGACTCCCCCGTAGATAAAATATTTATTAAATAAGTTTAACTAATGCATTTGGCCTTTTAAACCGTTAAAATGTTTTATTTAAAGGTGTACTACTCGTTTATCGTAATATTTATAACAATTTAATTAAATATTCAACAAACCATTTTAAAACAAATGGCAGTTTTCATCAACATAATACACGCAATAAGTATAAAATAAGTGTACCGACCATAAGGCTCCATAAAACAAGTAATTCTTTTCAAGGTTACGGTATTTTAATAAAATCCCAAGTGAAGGAAAAACGCTGTCAATAAATAAGTTTAAATCGTATGTTAAACAAAAAATGCTTGAAAAGGGTTATTATAACGTATATGAATATTTAAATGAGAAAAATGCTCGGAGTATTCAGGAACCAACTCTATCAAGGAACAAATGTACACAATGAGTGCGTAAGGAATATAAGGAAATGTAATAAAAACTTGGTAATTAAATAAGGAGTGGCGGCGAGTTTCTTGTCAATTCTTCTCGTTCGTTCTACGCCCTAACTTGGGAACTGGTAGTAACTGTAAATTTAGAGTTTAAAATGTTTACCAGTTTTGACGTTCATAAGTGTACTAAGCTACCTACATGAATAAATGATTTTTGATTTGATTTGATTTCTGCGGGCGGCGAGAGAAGTTTTAATGGACATGTGAAATATATTGACCGGGCTGATGTTAGCACGGATGGCTGCGCAGAACGCAAAAAGCAGGTATCGGTTCCGGCATTGGGCATTTTAATTTGCCGCTAAACACGACAGATATGGATTTTATACCATTATGTGACCAGTACAGTACCTAAGTTCGAAGGTCACAATAATGCTTAAACTTCCAAACATGTTTAAATTGTAATGTACAAGAAAATTGTAGTGGAGTGAAAAGAATAACCTGATTTACTTTATCAATCCATACCAACTATCAATACAGTTCCCGCTTGCTTGATTGAAATTTCGTGTGGGCGATGACATTTGACGCATTACCTTTAGAAAATGGAAGTCAATTATTGTAACATAAACACGCTTTGTCTCGCATTGCCCCCGCTGATTTATCTTTTAAATATTTACCTTATATTTTTTCGGAAGATCGGTCGGCGTATCATAGATTATATACTGTGTATAAGACAATGTGAGTCAGTTTTAAAAGGACCTTGCCAGTAACTCCAAATAACCACTACGACGAAACAGATGGCGCTAGCGTAGCAGAAATGACTTTGACATTTGAGATACCTTTCTTCAGACTCCCCGTAACTACAGCTGCTGCAAAGCATCAGAAACCTTAGGCCCTCGTGAAACTTAAAGAAAAAATAAGTAATATATTTCGCGTTTTAAACTGACTATAAAAAATAACACCCACGGTTTTACTTTAATAAAGCGCTGCTCAGGCAGACTATGAAAAGCTCATAACATTTCTGATATCCTATTTCAAACTAGCGGACGAAGTCCAACATATTTTTCTTTAATCTCAATATACAACTCTAAAAATACAAAATATGCTACTTATAGCAAAATAAAACCTATAGTACTTTTTCTAACTTGGCAAAAAAATACAGCAACTATGGCCTATTTCAAACCATAGAGAACTAGTGAAGACCTGTTATAGAGTGAAGTTGTTACCACAGATGTCACAGGAATAAAGAAATATCGATTTGGACCAAACGACCTCGATATTTACTATTACTGGCTTATTACTTATCACTTTCATGACAATTTTGTTTTTTAATTTTCTATGCTATTATTATTTAATTCGAAGCATGTATCGCTTTTCAGAGATAGTAGATGAGTAGGGTTTTTATCTTCCATTGTCGTTGACTTTGCTTACATCCCATCCTTATGTAAATGTCAAAGTAAGGAATTTCTAATCTGTGCATTTACGTAAATTATTTTTTGCAATTTCTATCAATTTAAGCATGAAAATGTGGTTTTACTAAGTGAATTTGAGGTCGTTCATTAGTTTATTATATAAACCAGTGTCTTAAAGTGTTTTTAATGTAAATCAATTGAAAACAATGTTTGTTTAACAAAATTGCCAAGTTAGAAAAAAATACACTATAGATATAATATAATAATTTAGATAAATCATGTTAACTTATTTTGTTTCAGGAATTCACATCTGAGCCACCAGATTTGTACCCCATTGAATACCCAGCTTTACCACGAGGTCTTTCAGTATCTCCGCTCCCACTTCAGAACTCGGATCACGAGCTGATGTTGAATATAACTTGGGATCCACCTTTAGGTAGGTATATACATTAATTATATAAGCAGAAGCGCGTTAAAGAAACTGAGATTATTTGATAGAAATAATATTTTTGTACAGTACAGAGAATAGATTAGTTTGAATACACAGCACAGAATTAAGAACTTTAACAATTAAAAACTCAAAAACCCAAAAAAAATTTAAAAAAATCCCCCCCCGGGCCGGACCCCCCCCCCCCCCCCCCCCCCCCCCCCCCCCCCCCCCCCCCCCCCCCCCCCCCCCCCCCCCCCCCCCCCCCCCCCCCGGCCCGGGGTTTTCCCCCCCTCCCCAAAAAAATGAAAAAAATTTTTTTTTTAAAAGATTAAAAACTCGTTACTTTAACGATTTAAAACGCGATATATTTTAGTTAAACTTAAATACTGTCTATAGATTACGCGAGTACCTAGTACATATTTAAATAAAACACTTTCACGGTTTAAAACGCGGTATATTAGTGAAACTTATTTGAAAATGATTTTTAACTTCGGCCCGACGTTTTGGATGCTTTGCTGCAGCCATGGTTACGGAGACACACTAAAATAAAGGGGGAAAGAAAAACGGGGAGACTAAAATATATCGCGTTTTAAACCGTTAAAGTGTTTTATTAAAATCTGTACTACTCGCGTAAACTACAGACAGTATTTAACGCGTTACTCTTGCATTTAATTGGAAATAAAACTTTGTCCTTATCGATGGTCCAATGATAGCCAGAGAATGATAGATAGACGAGTATGTAGGTATGGCATGTAAATTACGGACTATGGGTGTGATTCTCGTCAGGTCAATCATGTTTTGAAATCAATTTTTATTTTATCTAAATGTTGGCCAAGAAAATCTGGCTATAAAATGGGTGGGTCCAAAGCCAGAAACGGTCGACAACACATCTTGTTTATAGCTTGGTGTATCGTGTTGTATCAAGTCACCGCCATGTTTGTCTGTCCTCCTCCCATAAAAAGCGGAGTAGAAGATCGTTCCATTTTTAAATTACATGACATATATGATTTAAGACAGTAAATTTTTCGCCTCTAAACCCGACAGTTTATATAGATAGAACATTTGCCGGCCGCTGCTTTCTTCAAAATAGTGCTCGAATTTCCAAGCGTGTTTGAAAAAAATGCTGTTCTTGGTCAAAATTACTAATTTTTGAATGACGGGAAGGGTTCTTTATCGGAATATGATTAGGGTAAAGGGTGTGTTTGCAGAAATGGTCATGTCTAATATTGACATTCAGTCACTGTGTTACGTAGGTAAATACATTTCTGTTAAAATATTGGCTTAGCTACGATATATCGGGGATCAGAAATGACATATTATGAGCTACCTAGAATCCCGAGAAACATAGGTAATTTGTTAGTAGTTGTGTACCTAAGCTATGACTATACATGTATATATAGCTATGAGCTATGGTGTTTCTAAGCATTGCGTTAGGTGCGAAGAGTCACGGATGGAAATCTCAGAAAAACAATAGATTGTTCTACTGAGCAGGGTACAGCCGTCTGAACAACTACTGTAAGTACCGATAAGTGAATCGGACACAGAAATGTGTTTGCGGGGATAAGGGACTTCACACTTGATTACTTGCCTGCAAATAAAATTGATCTGTAAAACAGATACAATAATGTGCCTGGGACACGACATACGGGGCACAAAATTTAAAACTTATTTAAGTTATGTACTTATTTAAACATAATATTATGGACATATCTTTATAGTTTAAGTTTTTATAACCTTTAGACAAGTTATATCTGTAATTGACGCGAAGAAGGTGTGGAAATATTTCTGTTTTTAAAATGTTAACCTTTTCCAGGGCCCCCAGTCAGTAGTTACTCTTTAGAAGTGGACAGCATCAGCGACACGAAAGAGTGCAAGTCATCTTTGTGTTTTGAATACAATATTCCTGGGGTAAGTAAAGAATACAATATAATTCTAATCTAATCTCTTTATTTGTTCAATTCGATTCCAAACAAGCTCTCGTCTGTAGGGTCTAAATTTGAATCCAAATGCGCATGTTTCACTCGGAAAATCAATTAGTAAATAGGACACAGAAATTTATCTGCCCCATGCCTCAGGTTGGGGACATGGCTTCTCTATGTTCTCAATTATATTCTTCTTGACAGGATGCTCTATGGACCCTCGTTCCGTCAGAAGTAAGCCCCATAGTCGGCGGCTGCGCCATTCGTCCAGGTTGCTCATATCGAGTGAAACTCATGGCCCACCCGTGGGACGGACACACGTCAGCTAATCTAAATATACAATTGGATGGTAAGATATTTTTAGTCCAGAATAACAAATAGACAAACCAAAACATAACTCCTGTTATTTACTAAATTTAAAAGGTCGACATCTCCAATGTCGTGACGCGGATCTTGGGTTCAAATCACCTTAAAATTTCGCTCTTTTAGGACTATATTTAGTAAGGTACCTATTACTTCCTTTATACGATTGAATTTTTATAAAATTTCATTGTGATTTTTTTTTATTGAAACCGATATAGCACGTTGAAATATTACTTAATGTTTTGTTGCTTTTAAAAATAGAAAACTTTTATTTTTATGTATTACAACCTGCAAATGAAACTAAGACTGAAAGAATGAAACTTTAAATGTCTCTAAAAATAAATTTTGCCCAAAAGTAAAATACCCCATGTGGTTAGGGAAGAACAGAATCAGATTTAATCCTTATTAAACAAACATTGAGAGTCGGAGATCAAAGTTACATTGTTATTTGCTATATAGTCCCTTGTCCGAAATCCCAAAAGCTTACCATCTTAGAATCTTACCTTCTAATAATACGCCATTATGAGTAAGCAACATTTTAAATAATAATAACACAGATTGCCGAAATAACATTATTTGTTGTTTCTTCTTTTTATAGTTGTTGTAAAATGTGTATGTACATAAAAAAAAGGTAACAAAATTAACAATTGTCTGATCTAAAGTCTGCGCTAATAGTTCGGTTGCTGTATTCTAGTCGCGGGTTCAAAACCTAGGTGTAAATAAAAATCAATATAATATATATAGATATTGAAGTAATTTCTATATCTATATCTAACATATATAATTAAGGTTATACGTCTTACAATCACATATTATATGTATAACAAAATAAAAAACGTATTAATGGCTTAACAAATCGATTATTATTTATATCTATATAGATAAATAGTAGTTATATACGAAAAACAAACTATACCGATGTTAAATCTATCAAATGAAGCTGGAACACTTTATAGACGATTACGTCTCGCTTTGTAATATATAGTTTTATTTACCATGTTTCAAAGCTCACGTACTCCGATTATTTATTTTGGATTGACTGAAACAGTCTGTAACGAAATAAAGACTTCTTTCATTTTAGATTCAGATAAACACGAAATAGCATATCCGTGAAATAAATTAAAATTACTAACACAACTACGGCATATACTTTCAACAACAAATTAATGAATTACGTCAGACGACAAAATTTAGAAAGGTGAATGATTTGTAACCATTTTTTTTTTTTCTCATGAGAGCTTTTATAATATCTACTAATATATAAAGCTATAGAGTTTGGTTGAACGCGCTAATATTAGGAACTACTGGTTCGAATTAGACAAATCTTAGGCTATGCTATAAACATTGCCTTGATTAATACAAGCGAAGATACAGCGAGAAATATAAAAAAAACATGGGAAAATCATTCATCGTTATGGGTTTCCGAGGCATACACTGCAAAAAAGATTCAACATACCCAAAAATTATGTATAAAAGAATGATTCCTCATTAAATGATCTAAAAAAAGTCCGCGACGTTATATGTCTATCTTTAACTTGCAAAAACGACGGGAAGGGACGCGACCGACGTCGCGGGTAACAGCTTAAGTTTATAAAGATGAAGGGGTTTACAAAAATGAATTTGCCAAAATAACAATTCTCACAGACGAAGTCGCTGACACATTTACATATAAAAGTCGAACCTATACCTACTCTTGCACAGCTGATTTAGTTACTGCATTTTGTTAACTTTGAGTTTTCAAACGAAACGTTCTTTGTAGTAAGCTTTGTAATCAATAAGAGAAACAAATAGAATTAAAAATAGTATTTATAAATAGATTTGAAAACATTAATATTTTTCACATGATGGCACTATATAGAAAAAAAATATTTAAAAAAAAACGACTCGGGCACGACTTGAACCGGCATCGTCTGCTAGTTAGCGTTGCGCGAGAGGTGTATGTATTGATAGGGTGACAAAAATTCGACAATGACCTGTAGGACTCGATAGCTTAATCGGTTAGAGCAAAAGCTCGGAACGATAATGTTTTTCAATTTATTTTCGATATTATTCAATCTTATTTCATTATTAATCTGATAGTCATATTTCAATATAAATAAGTGAACTGACCGACCCTAGCCTAATAATTACATGTTCTTACTAATTATACTTTTTTTCGATAAAGAAAATGACCACTAACTCATTATAACAAACAGGACTCGTTGAAAAAAAAAAATGTTTCTTAGTTACATGGGAATAGTCTGAAAATTTAATTAAATTCGTTTCAAATATATGCAGGTAAGAATATTGTTTTTTTTAATAATCATACTTCAAAACAATCAAATTCGAACTTTAAAGTTTTCTTGCAACGATCATGGTGGACAGCCGGTAGAGAGAGCGTAGTCAATGAAACTGCAAACTCAGATGTTACTATTTAAAACATAAAGAACTCAAAAACGTTTTTATGTTAAAACACTTGATAGTGAAATGGAATGAGGGTCCAGCGAGGAAACCTTTATTTACACTTCTTTTGATCTTGCTAAAACCACTCTTTTCATTTATTAAGCATCCATTAAGAAGGGAACGTTGTGGGTACACGTGATTTTTACCCATTTTTGGCTGAGGTAAAATTTATGTCTCTCTATGAACGGGATCAAAATATTTATAGCTTCGCATTAAAAATCCCCTATACTAAATAAAATGTCAAAAAAGTTTACAACACATCAGGCAAATTGCGTTTAACGTGCTATTTTGAAATGGGAATCAAAAAACAAGTAATTGAAAAAAGGAGTCTAAGAAAGAAGGCTACTTAGTTAGTATAGGAACAGTATTTTTGTATGGTACAAACATATAAATATGAATCTTGAAGTTTACTTTGGGGCACTTACACCATAAGGAATCTTTATAGAACAAATAGCATATTTCCTAAATTAAGCTTCGTATGCATCTTTTCTCCTTTAAGGAGCTGAACCGTTTATTTGTGGTCACGTCTAAATATAATAGTCGCCCCATCATGATCAGTTTGTTCGCAGAATGTGTGGCAGGAATTTGCTCTTGCGCTCATGCACCGCGTCTACCAAAACCCCGAGTTATAGCGGAAATGTTTCCTGTCTTGGGAGACTTTTTTGTCAATGTCAGCTGGTCACTGCCGTCACCTGAAGAACCACTGCGACTACCACCCAAGCTCAAGAAACGCTTATATTATGTGAGGTAAGGTTAACAAGTAAGAATAAAATGGGATCGTTACTTTAATGGTAGCAATCTACAGCTAATAATCAACGGGTCTCAGGTTCGATGTTCACTAGGTCCAACATTTTTGTAAGCAATTTATAATTTTTCCGAAACATGCGAATTCGTCTGGAAATCTGGACAATAAATGGGTGGTCGGAACTTCAAAATTACGTCACGAACCAACGTCTGCAGATGAAAAAGCCGTGAAGTTCAGTCACATTTCGGTTTCCAGTCTGGGGATTTCCAAATATCCAAAGGCAAAATAGGTCAACGGCACATCTTGTTTAGATACTGTAGAACTGAGGTATTTCACCTTTCATAGAGTGAAGCCCCATGCTTCTCTGTCCTCCTTTATCATAAAATTAATACTCTTACCCTTATTACCCAACATTTTTAATATAATTTTCATCAGCTTAGGTAAACAAATGATCTCCGATGCGCATCCTTCTCCATGGTACTCCAACACGATTACCAGAAGCAAGGAGGCGAATGGCTTCGTAGCTAACCCTGAAGGGCCTCTGTGGATGGTTCTACCTATCAATGAGAGGGGCATTGGGCGTAGTAGAAAGACCAATTTGATATTGGATGTCAAGTTACTAGCACGAGTGAGTTTAGTTGACGAGCGAGGCTGTATTGGTCCAGCGGGGAACTACACAGCTTATGGTAAACGCAGAATAATGTTTTGTTACAAAAGTTGTACTTACGTGTAACACTACGTACGTGTTATTACTCGTACCTACTTACGTGTACATAAAAAAAACTCTCAAGATGTAATGAGGAAACTTTAAATACTTGTCTTTCACCTAAGACTTAAGTTATTTCACTAACTTACAACAAAGCATTTTAAAATAAGATTTATTTCTAAATTCTTTGTTAGTATCATGACGCCATTGACTAATTTTTTGACGGGCTCGTTGGCCTAATGGTAAACTTATGACTAACAATCAACGGGTTGCGGGTACGATCCCAAGAGGTCCAACAAGTTTCTAATTTTTCAATTTATAATTTTTCCGAGACATGTTGGACGTCTGGAAATCTGAATATTAAATGGGTGGTAGGCATATCGAAATTCCGTTCGGGTTACGAACTACCGTCCGCAGATGATAAAGCGATGTTTTATGTCGCCTTTAATCTGTGGATTTCCGAAATTGGTCTACAGCTCATCTTGCTTAGATCCTATAGGCTGGGGTATATCACTAAACTCTATCATAAAAAAAAAAATCCATCATCTTCGATCGCATAACCTCCTTCATAAATCCTCTCTTTTCAGATCCATCTGAAACAAAGGGTACAACATTTACTACATATGTAAGTATGTAACCATATTCTATAGGTACGATTAATCAATGATCTTTTTCTAAAACAATTTATTATTGCAGCTGCTTTGGGCGTTCTTGGGTGGCGTCAGCGTTCTAGCCATGGTCTTCGTGCTGGCTTGTGGTACTCGCGTGGTGAAGCACATCCTGAAAGAGTTTCAGCCAGCGGCGACTTCGCCTCTTCAGCCCTTAAGCAACCGGTCAATTTGGTTCCTGAGAACGTAAGTAATAGCTGTTAAGGCTTATAAATTGACAAGAGATGCATTTTCTGTAACAACTGTACTCAAATTACAAAACAGAATAATACAGATGTTATCAATACTAAAAGTATATATAATTGTCTACACGGCATTTATATTTTGCGTTATCTGTATTTAAATGTGGATAAACAAAAATGCAGTACTTAAATTTTGCTAAAATAATTTTATAGGCGACTTAAACCTGCTTTGGTGAATTGGTCCGTTTAGTGCCTGCACTTAACACGATTGTTTATTTAAACATCAAATTGACTATTTAACAGTTCAAAACGTGATTGTAAAAGTTAGTTAATTGTTAACAAAGAGGTTTACATTTTTACCAGCAGTCGTAGTTTGTAAACTTTCGTGTCTATAATTAATATTGGTATTTTTTTTTCGCGTTTTAAACTGTTTATGAGTCCTCTAAGTTTTTCTTTATACTAAAATAATCTGTTTTATAAGCTGAACACAAAAATACATTTAGATTTAAAACCTCCTATATAATTATTACGAGTAGTTTCACATAGAGCATTTCTAAAGAACATAACGATCTTTTGAGGTCACAAAACTTTAAGAAAAATCCCAAATCCAATCAATATTCCCAAACAATTGTTTACTTAGAATGACATCTTAAATAACAGCGTTCAAAAGATAACATCCCTCCTAAATTCGTTTACATTTAGATCCGGGAAATTAGATATGTTAAATTACAAAAACAACAATTTTATTACCTTAGTTAATTCGTTAACCCTTATATCTACGAAATACGATCTCAGTATTTAGTAGATTAATAAACTATAATAAAAATAATAAACAACTTAAATATGCCACTGTTGGCTATTATATGATAATACGTGGTGTTTATTTAAATAAAACACTAATTTTAACTGGTTACAGTGTTTAACTATTTAAATGTGTACTACTCGCGTAAACTATAGACGTGGTGTTTAGTTGCTTCTCTATATTGCAGCTGTCTTTTACTGATGTGAATGACCATTAACAATTAAAATAATACGAACTTCAGTATCGTTTTTAACTGCTAATTCATAAGAAAGAAGAGTTTTTTAACAATATGTAGTTTTTTTTAAGTCGGTGATGTAATTTAATTTACGCGACACATTTAAATTAAATAATGCTAACGGTTTTAAATCCGTAACGCGTAGTTAACTTATTTACAATTTATTTTAACTACGGTCCGGCACTGTAGATGAAGGATATCACTAATGTAAAAGGCAAAACTGAACGCTAAAAAACGCTAGCGCCATCTGTTTCGTCGTAGTTGACATTTGGAGAAACTAGCTGGGTCCTTACAAAACTGACTCTTAGTGTCCTCTCATTTCTCGGTATGTTTCAGTTATCGGGGCGTAAATTAAAATAAATAGTAAATAAGTAAACTACTATGTTTCACGTTTTAAGCTGTCAAAAGGTTTATTTAAATATCACCGATTTTCTTCTTATTACTTTCAGAACGGAATGGAATTGTGTGTTTTCAAAATGTTTAAAAAACAAGAAGGTTGAAACAAAATTCACAAATACAAATATTCTTTATTGTCACAAAACAAGGAACAGGATACTAAAATAAAATTGATTAAATTAGGAACAAATGGTGGCTTTATAAATAGCTAATGCTAAATAGCTATCTCTTCCAAGCAACTGCGGTGGTAATAAAAACACAGTAATAAAAGAGGGTATGCGTGATAGCAAAAAATTGTTACTTACTTATAATAACAATAATACAAAAATTTGCTTAATCTAATATACTACCTAAATACTAACTAAATTAAATTACTTTATTTAAGATAAGTTAAGTTAAGTAATTAAGTTTAACTTTATTGCTAGTAACTAGAGATGGGCCGAGCACTCGGTACTCTGCGTACTCGGCGAGTTTTTTGATACCGAATGACTCGGTTATTTGACGACGAGTATACTTTGTTTAAGAAAAGCTATCTATTTATATTTTTAGGTAGATATAATTAATTAATATTTATTTTAAAACGATTTTATTAAACTTATTTGAATATGATTTTTAACTTCGGCCCGACGTTTCGGATGCTTTGCAGCAGCGTGGTCACGGGGAGACTAAAATGGAGGATGTCTCTGACGTCAAAGTAAAGAATTGCTACGCTAGCGCCATCTGTTCCGTCGAAGTTGGTATTTGGCGAAACTGGCCGGGTCCTTACAGAATTGACTAACGGTGTCTTCGCGTTTGCTGGTATGCTGTTTATTGGGATCCAGAGTTTTTAATATGGGATCCCAGGTGTTTGATAGTTTGAGGCCTTCCTCCCTATTGAAATTTCAATAGGGAGGACGGCCCAACGGCCTCAAACTATCAAACACCTGATCCCATATTAAAAACTCTGGATCCCAATAAACAGCATACCAGCAAACGCGAAGACACCGTAGGCAATTCTGTAAGGACCCGGTATATCGCGTTTTAAACCGTTAAAGTGTTTTATTTAAATGTTACACTCGCTAAACTGCAGTATTTAAAACAACAGTGTTAATCCAAAAGTATTTATTAGTAATTTATAAAATCTTTGAAAATCTCAATTAATAAAATCAAATTTATGCTAATGAATAACAAAAACGTAACATAACGAAACAAAATTACAAGATGAAGCAGCCGACGTCCTACCGGCGCGAACCTGTTTGTACATATGTACTTGTTTACGCGCGCGAATTGGGGACTTGAGTACGAGTACTCGGCCGAGAATTGAAAAAAATTGACCCGAGTAAAACTTGGTACTCGTTACTCGGCGTATCACTACTAGTAACATAGAGCGAAATTATTAAGCGCTTTAGAAAACCAACACTTGAAATTGACCTACGAAATAAATTCATGACTGACCACTGACCACGCAACGGCTGATAAAATCAACCATTACACATGCAGATAAGCGCAAAAACATAAAACGTAACATGACGTAACTAGACCAATTCAATTGTACACGTTGAATAAATCTTTGTGTTGGTTCAACATCGTCGAAAGTACGCATCGTAATTCACAGACGATATATTTTTAACTTACGAGATGCGCGTACGACGTTTTTATATCGATTGTTTTCTGATTTATGGATATTGGATAATAGATTTCAAAACAACGCAATTTTTGCGCATATTTATATACATCTTAAAGATGTATTCCATTCGTATAGTAGAGACTGGTTGTATAAACATATGAGCTCACTGAAGTAATGATAGCAATGTACGGCAATCAACGGGTCATGAGTTTGAACCCCATCGGGTCCAACATGTTTCAAATCAATTTATATTTTCTCTGACACGTGTCTCACATCTGGAAATTTGGATTAAACGGATGGTATATAAGAATTCCGTTAGAAAACACCATCCACAGATAAAAAAGCCGTGTAATCCGTTTGATCGCGTTTTGGTTTCAGACTGAATGTCCGAATGCCCTAAAGCCAAATTAGTCTTACATCAAGTGTACCTACGACATGCTTGTCTGTTTAAATAAAAGAATTTAATGGTTTAAAACGCGATATATTAGTTAAGCTTAACTAATATATCGCGTTTTAAACCATTAAATTTCTTAAAAAAAATGATTTTTAACTTCGGCCCGACGTTTCGGTTGCAGCAATATAATATGAAAATGTCTCCCCGTGACCACGGTTGCTGCAAAGCATCCGAATTGTCCCGAAAATTTTTAAATAAGTTTAACTAATATATCGCGTTTTAAACCGTTAAAGTGTTTTATATAAATATGTCCTACTCGCGTAAACTATAGACAGTATGCTTGTCTGAGGACAGACGTCCTCCTCTATTATAGATATACTTGCATGTTTACCTCTGTCAAAAATAGAGTACTCCTAACTGTGTGTAGTCAGTAGGTACGGTACACCTTGATATTGTGCTAGAAAATACTAGCCACTTTATTGTTTGATGCATTTTGAGATTTTAAAGTAACATGCATTATTAACGCGCAGAACAATTTAAAAGAGAACGTAGAAGATGCATCATTGCGGTCAATTCGCAATAAAATTGTGCAAGTTTAATTGTTGTTGTATTAGATAACAACGAAACGATGTGCTAAATTTTACCAAAATTGCCTCAGCGTGAGAAAAAGATTTAAATCTTTATAACTTCAGTAAGCGCCTTGGTAGGTAATGCCATCTAGATTTTGCACGTACTTAGATATGAGGCCGCTAGAAGCAGAGTGGCCTAATAACGAAAAACATGATTTTCAATAAGTTAGCAAAATTATGTTAACAATTTCCCGTCACTGTGCTCTTGTAGATTAACATTTTTAGACTATAAAAATATAAATAATTCAAGTCAAAAAATTGCAGTTAGGCTACTCTGCCTCTAGTGGCCTCATATTGCATTTAACTGTATACATGAACAGCCCTTTGGTCCAGTGGTTAGGACATTCGACTGCAAATTGAACCCAGAGTTCAAATTCTGGGTCGAGCGAGATGTTACTTCGCTATTTATTATATTTGTGAAACAATTTCTAGTACCAATGTAGAATTTACAAATACGAGTGTTTTCTTCCGTGCCTGGAAGAGCAGGTTGAGATATCGGTCGCGATTATAACCACCAGTTTAGCGCCTGTAGACCCACCAAACCACACTGGAATAGCATCGTAGACCTAAAATCCCCTTTAGAGGAGTGACCAGGCGTGTCGGTTGATACGATTATTTTTCTGACTTAAATCTGTTATGGAACTTTTATTTACGTTGAACTCAACAATTCTTGTCCCAAGTTCAATACAAAATATTTCATTGAAACAAAAATAAAAACAAACATTTTTATAATATAAACATACGTTAAATTCTTAAGCTGAAGTTATTTTTTTGTTCAATATATAATATACAACAACCAAGTCTAAGAATTGATTTTATACTATTTATTTATTTGCTTCACCAACATTCTTACATTTAAATAAAAAACTTTAATGGTTTAAAACGCGATATATTAGTTAAGCTTATTTAAAAATGATTTTTAACTTCGGCCCGACGTTTCGGATGC